GGTGTTCCACCCCCCACAACCCCCCTGTAGCGCCGCCCCTGAATCAACCCTTCTGTCAAATCGACTCGTAAATGTGTCAAATCGGCTCTTCTGTCAAATCGACTCTTAATTGGGTCAAATCGACTATTAATATTGTGTCAAATCGACCCTTCCGTCAAATCGACAGTCTTAATTCTGACAAATCGACCCTTCTGTCAAATCGACTCTTAATTGTGTCGATCGTCCGTCGTATGATCGTATCAAATTAACTTCCGCATAAAACCTAAAGAATGCACATACTCGCAAAGAAAAAGAAGAGGACGTTTTTTGGATTAATTTATACAAGGTGAGATTTGATGTTTTGTTTTGTAGGGTATTGAAATTTGTTTTCCAGATTTTTAGTAATATTATCGTAAATATAAATACGGTATTTGTAAAAATTAATCACGAGAATTGAACGTGTAATCATAGAATAAGGCCTAGGTGTAATATTAATATTAATGATCGCGGGAACTGGGAACGAGAATGCACTGGAATGCACGCGCCCGTAAGCAATAGGGTTTGCGATCATTCTCGAGCATGCGTACTAACTTTTGGCGCCATTATCACAGTATAGGAAAAGTACAGTAGGGCCACTCAGCGTAAAAAAGTGTCTACATTGTTTACTGGCTGCCAACCTAATTTACATATTGGCAGCCAGTAAACGACAGCAGTCCACTATAAAATTGTACTACAGAATAATGATTTTGGCCGCGTAAGAGACCTGAAACCTAGCTTAAATAATTGCCACTTTTCTCTCCCCTAAGTGGCCCTACTGGTTGTCTCCCTATACTGTGCCATTATCGAACGTTGGCCGTTGGGATTTGCTTCGACGAGGGATACGGATAAAATACAAGCGTAAAACCTCGTTCGTTGCAGTATATTTTGAACAAATAAACAATTTATTAGGAAAATACGTTCAAGAAACGTCTCGTGCTGTACTAGCCTAATTCTGGCAAATGTTATTTACTTTCTTCACCTTCGTGTCGACGACTGTTGTTTGCTGATGGCCAAATCACGACAGCGGACATCAATTATTCAAAATATGTTCTTATAGCTTCACGTTTACGATACGAAACACGTTTTAATGTAAGATTATTTATTTTTGTATATGTAGGTTCTAGTTGAAAGTGACAGCGACGATGAAAAAAGTGCACAGAACATTGAAATATCCAGTTCATTACTAGCTCGAATCCTGCGACATATCACTTGCTAGTAGCCCAGTCTAGTTTAACTTTGCCCAATCAAGAATCATCTCCTGAATCAAGCATACTGGCAACACTGGTTCATTTGATAATGTAAGTTTTTAAACTGGTAGTTTAGATTATAGCCTCTGTCAAATCAGGATGAAAGTCATGCATGAATTGCTTATAAATACACAAAGGACATTTCAAGTTCCAGATGAACAAAATATTATTAAAGCTTTGATGAGTGTTCTGCAACGATGTTTCAACTTTAAAATACTCTCATCCTCGTTTGACCCATAATTATTTGTTGATTTTACTCGATACTAAATAGTGAAACATCGAATCCAGAGAAATTCTTATGCAGAACCCACTGTAATTCCAAGCTGTAATCACATAATTATATAAAAGTCGTTTCAGTGGCAGCAAAATCCAAACTAAACACCAATCTAGGATTAATAGGTTTAGCTTTTAGGCCGAGAATAATATACGATTGACAACTTTGTGGCTGATTGATTAATTAATTAATAGTATACTGTATATTGATGTTGTTGTATACAGGACATCTGACTTACATGTCAAATAGTCGAATCTATGATTATATCATAGATTAAGTAAGAACAGATGTGTAACTTCAGTAAAAAAGTTGTCCCACGGTCGCCATCTTCCTAGCAAGTGTCGCTCGCGTGACAATTCGTCATTTGGTAATACGTCATTGCTTTCAAAATGCTTTCAACACCTTTTCCACAACTTTAATTGCTTTTAACAACTTTGAACATTAAACAAGTGATGCTCTTGATTGTTTAATCCATAAATTTCGATCCAAAAAAGCCGCAATAAAATGCAAAAGTTCATGTTTTCCACTAGGACGCCATCTTCCTAGCAAGTGTCATGGCGTGAGCATGACGTGTACATCTAGGGAAATTTGAGGACACGAATTCCTATTAAGTTACACATCTGGTATATACTTCATCTGTGATTATATTGAGCATGGCAGATTTGACATTTGAAACATTGTTGATGTTAATAACCCATTGAGTCGCATTGCGCCCTGATGCGCACTAAGTATTTATTATTTTACTCTGGCTAGCTAACGCTAGCAATTTTACTCATCAAGGGGAGACTACTGGCGGTTAATGTGTTAACTAGCCTATCTGCCCATGTGTACATAGTTAACCCATTGAGCCGCATTGTGCCCTAATGCGGCCTAATTTATTATTTTACTCTGCCTATCGCAGGACAATTTTACTCATTAAGGGCAGAGCGCTGGCGCTTAATGTGTTAACTAGCCTATCTGCCCATGTGTCTAGTTAACCCATCGAGTCGCATTGCGCCCTAATTTATTATTTTACTCTTTCTAACGCCAGACAATTTCACTCATTAAGGGGAGAGCACTGGTACTTAATGGGTTAACTGGCCTATCTGCCCATGTGTGTTGTTAACACATTGAGTCGCATTGTGCCCTAATTTATTATTTTACTCTGTCTAACACCAGATGATTTTACTCGTCAAGGTAAGGGCGCTGGTGCTTAATGGGTTAACTGGCCTATTTGCCCATGTTTATAGTTAACGCATTGCGGCCTACTTTATTTTTTTTAGTCTGTCTCGGGAGGAGAACGCTAGTGCTTAATGGGGTTAATATTGAAAATATAGATCAACATTTGTCAAAACTCATGACTTGTGCAATCATTTCTGTAATAATTAAGATATTAAAATACCAAATATAATGCCTTATGGCTTATTTCAAATAGGGAGATGCTATGTGACTATGTCCATTGAAACTTAGTGGATTTGTTGTAGCTACATCAAATAAATGCTAGCCAAAAACATATTCAAGTCAATCGAAGAGAATGTAGAATTGCACTTTACATAAAATTCCCTAGTTATTGTAGTGACTGTACATTAATGAAAAAGCATTTGAAATGGAAATATATTGTTTTAATTTTATTTCTATGGTTTGTACTATGATATACATGGGCTATACACTCTTTGGGAACCCGCAGGGCTGTTGGCAGAGCATTTCCATGATCTGGAACTTCAGTTCTAAACACGATGTGTGGGTGCGAAGATGTTGTGTAGGAACAGAACTGTACAGATTAGAAATATGATTACTGATATTTTCCAAAGAAAAACTATTAATATATAGAAGAGGAAAGAAAGAGGCAATAAATAGCCCAAAGTATCTGTTGTACATTTGACATTTAAAAATGGTAGGCTTATTAAGGATGAGATACAGAGAAAAACAGTAATGCAGAACTACATTCTCTTAAATTGTCAAAATTAAACGCTACCAATCTTGGTCTCGTTTCAAACTTGAATAACGAAAAGTCTAAAAATATAAAAACTATAAGAACAGATCAGCTAAGTCCAGTTATAAAATTAAATGATGAAGGAAAGCTGTCATTTTAGGAAAGTGTTGTTTTGGGGTGTGTAAACTCATGAGGTTACATGTTTCTGGTGAATCTGTGCTTGCTGCAGCAAAAATTTATTAATCGTTTGTGATATAATTCACAAGATGTCTATTTTAACCTGTGGGTTGCCAAACTTGAAACTTCTTAAATATGGAATTTGTTTTGTCTGACCAAGATATAATGAATACCACTAGTGACATGAGTATGTCCAATTAATATTTAACTAGAAATAAATGCATGCAGCAACCCCTAGCCTATATTTTTCAAACATTGATTTAACATGAACTATTAGCAATTGGCCAGCACTGAACACAGGCTCACGTTGTGTCAAGTGTTGTCAAGGCAACATAATGTCACATTATATTTTAAATTTTTTTGAATAATTTTGCAAGTGTTCATACCACAGAATCTACCATACATAATTTTAAACAAATAGATAGGTGAAGTAATTCAAACAAAATGATTTTGAACTTTATTACTCTACTCTGTCGAACGCCTATTCTACTCGTAAAGGGGAGAGCCCTAGTGCTTAATGGGTTAAATAAGATCGTATAGTTATATGTATGTCATGTATTATGTTTTTATGCAGTCTCCCTGAATCACTTGTACCAGGCTATGGAAATTCATGTTTCCAATTTTGTATTTATTTTTCTTATGATGCAGTATACTGTAAATTTGAATAATATTTGTGTGCTTATAGTGAGCTTATTTTTAGGAGAGTTTGTTGCGAGGCAGCATATATTTTGATATTTCAAAATATTACTGTATATTGGTATGTTATACTTATAGGAGTCGGGTGTGATATACTTTTTCAGGTATTTTGTGTCTGATGTATGTAAGAGCTTTATTATTGGGTTTCTTGGTGAGACCTTATATCTTATGTGTCCTATAACCCTCTGTAATTGCGGATTATTGCATACATTCTAATTGTATTTTTTTTGTAGGAGTCCGAAGATGCAAATGATACAATTTCAAACTTATCACAACCCATATTGTGGCCGTTGGCAGCGAATTAGAATACGACTAGAAACTGTCAATCATACGTTATCGAGGGAAAGGATGAAAGTTAACAAGCAACAAGCAACAGTTGTTTTGATGCAATTATCGCCTTATTGGCAAGTTTTTACATCTTCAATATTGAGAGTACTGCCACACGAAGAGCATCTTGTCTGCCTTGCAGACTATAGTAGTGCATGGGCAACACAGAAAATGGCATACAACTGCCAATGAGGGTCACAGCCCTCTTCAATGACTTGTCATGACTCATGAATATTAGTACTACAGTAATTTTACACTTTTTGAGAGTTTTGTTGACATATGCTAACCCAAGTTAATGTTATTGATGGAATGTGTGTATTGTCTCACATCTCACCGAACTGTGGTAATGTATTAGAAATTATTTGTATTGCGTTCACGTTAACAACCGCGCCTGCTATTGCTATCACAAGTTGATTGCTCTTTAAAATTAGAATTGTAAACTTTCGGAGCCATATGGCATATATGTACGAATCTTTTGATGGTTCCCACATTTGGGTGAGATCCATAATACTGACTACTGTGCATGTATATTGTAATTAGTGCTGTGCAAACTCCGGTTTTTCATCTCCGGCTCCGGCCGAATTACAGCTCTGAGCTCCGGCTCCGGCCACATCATAAAATATTAAATAAATGTTTTACGATCAGAGAACATTTATTAATATTATTATGAATAACCCTTTTCGCGCTTCCTAATTATCAGATAACATAACTCAGGAAACAAAACAGTGAAAACACTTAATCACGCAGAAAATATCTATATGGAAACCAGCCTCGAAAAATCTTTGACACGAGGCATGACGCGAGGCACGACGCTAACACTCTCAGACTCCACAGCGCAATTGTTCCCACGCAAACAAAGTACTCTGTCATTTTCAAAAGGTTGATATTTATTTGTTTTGTACTTTTTCGTTATCTACAAGGCATGAATATACAGATTACAGTATGTAGCGCTAAGTCAGATAGCTTCATGAAAGCATGACGTTTGTAAGTTGTGATCGTATTACAGCTTTTCGACGCTGTTCCTGTGGGCTGTGGCAGTTTGAGTCTATGATGAATTCATTAACAGCAATTGCCAGTTTGCAGTAACTAACAATCGTTTGACATTTGTCTCATTTCATATTGTTTTCTTGTCATTTTGCCGGAGCTGGGAAAACGTAACTCCGGCTCCGGGCTCCGGCATACAAAATTCGGCTCCGGCATTGGAAAAACCGCCGGAGCTCCGGCAGAACTCCGGCAACTTCGGCGCACAGCACTAATTGTAATTTTAGTTATAGTATTGTGTTTATAATACAGAAATTGGAACATTATTTATCTCAACTTATATTACAATAATTCATTCCAATCTTGGTCTGTTGGAAAAATTGTAATAATTTAATCAAGACCAAATAAACCCCAATATTTTTGCCTGATTCATTATATACATGTAGAATACGTCTACATGCAAGAGTGCAGCCAAATCCACATGACTTTAAATGCTATATAAAACGGCACCACCAAAAAGCTATATCAGCTCAATCGGTTCTAAAGCACCTCTTCATTGGGGCTGAGACTGCTCTCCTCTGAAAGGGCCAAAACAGCCCCGGTTAACAAAGTAGGGGTTAAATTGGCTTTTCTTTTGGATCTATAATGGCTCTGAAATTGGACCAAATTGACCCTTTGGGTGCTACAAACTACACCATGAAAAAAGCTATATTAGCTCCTTCGGCTCTAAAGCAGCTCTTCTTTGAGGCTGAAACTGTGCTCTTCTGGGAGGGCCAAAATAGCTCTGGTTAAAAAAGTAGGGGTTAAATTGGCTTTTCTTGTGGTCTATAATGGCTCAGAAATAGAACCATATTGGCCCTTTGGGTGCTAAAAAACTACACCATTAGAAAAGCTATATCGGCTCCTTCGGTTCTAAAGCAGCTCTTCATTGGGGCTGAAACTACTCTGTAACTCAGTAGCCAAAACAGCTCCGGTTAGCGAGCCAAATCGACTCTTTTGGGGGTTCATTATGACCACAAATGGGAGCCAAATTAACTCCTCGAAATGCCAAAATAGCCCCCTAATTTTCTGAATTGGCCCCTATTGAAAGTTGAAATAGCCCCTGCTTTTGCCAAAACAGCTCCTACTAAAAGCTGAAACAGCCCTTACACTGGAAGGGCCAAATCACCCCTTAGGGGCCGCATTGTTATAGGTGCCATTTTGACCCCCAAAAAAGATCTATTTTGCGGTCACCGTTTTGGCCCCATTTTTGGGGTCGTTTCAGCCCTTTTTAATTTACAGTGTAACAGTGGGGAATGTGATTGAAAATTTGCTCAAAAAATCAAACGCCCCACATTTGCCCGACCCCGCCCCCTCTCTGGGGCTTAACATGTTGAAAGAACCACCATTTCTCAAATTTTATCTGAATTAGTTGTGTAACATCATCAAAAAATTCTTGGTTAAAAAAAGGCAAAGTGGGCATTCACTGCTATAAAGGGTATACTATCCAATTGCATCAGACCAACTCCATGGCGTTGTTCTCCAAAGCATCGAGCCGCGGAATGAATCAGATTGTCTTTATCTACAGAAACAGCCTTGGCAACAAGTGGGAGAACATTTTGAGCGACAAATTTAGCATCTAAACCAGGGTTAACTTTTACCAGCCATTTTTGAAACAGGTGGATGAGTATAGTTTGTTCTGGGTTAGTTTTGAAAATCCAGAAGTCATCATACCAATTAATAACATATTAACCAGAAAGGTGAACAAGGCTTTGGTCACTCGATGGAGAGACAATCAGAGCATTGGAGATCTTGCAGATGTAGAAGGTCTGTACAGATTGGAAGGACCGATTTTACCTCCAAATCTAATGATAATGCTTAATTAGTCTTGCAGACAAAATCATTGACAAACATAGAATCCGGCCAAAATCGCGAATCTCAAATCTAAAACATCAGCCAAACAATAAATTTCACTTATAAAATATTGTTACGGAAGCCTTTAATTATTTGCACACTTTAACTGCAATATATACAATCCATAATTATATCGAAACTTCCATAATATATCACACTTTTTTAGAAAAAAGCGAGTAATAGCAGCTCATTATCGATCTGAGTGACAAGGCAACATATTTTACCGAGGGCTATATTCAACGGTGAATATCTCGAAAACGGTTGCGGGACCAAGGGAGGGCGGGCTGGATAGAATTAAAGATTATATTTTTGGTTAACTAATCGTAAAAATTGTTGACAGAAACGCCATTAAATTACATTGCGACGGTATAGCGCCTAAAGTGAGAGGTCAAAATAAACTGGAAAATAACGCTTATACCTTTGAAGATACCGTTCCAATGGGTAGATTCACTGTTGTAAAAGTAGTATCACGTGAAATTTAAAAAAAAAATGTGCATAACAATATGAAAAAAGTCGATATTTATGAGCCCTATGTAAATTTTCGATGCCAAAAGCTTCATGCGAGCATGACGAAAATGGCGCAATCTGATTGGTGGAGAGATTCGCTTAATTAGCTGTCCAACCTCCTCTGGCGCATCATCGCAAAAATAAGTATTTATACAGAATATTTATAATATTAAATGCTAAAGAAAGTAAATAATGTTAATTTATTCAAAAGTTCACTTGTGGTGAATTACATAGGTAATATAGCAGTTAGTGTCTCGACTCATGTACGTGCCAATATTCTGTTTATTTTATGTGGCCGTTGGATTTAATTTATCACTGAATCGCTTTAATCAGCAAGAGTAGCATGCCATTTTCTCTATTTGTTTTCATATTTCAGTATTGCAAAGCACTGTATAGTGTATATTCCGTTCTCATCTGAATGTATGTTTCGTCATTGCTGTCATTTTGTTCTAGCGCACCGTACAGTTCAATTGGTTTGCATCATTTACAACGTACGAAATTAAATAGCGTTCGTTTTGTTGCAAAAAGACTTTATAGAGACGCCGTTTTTAATCGTTGCTTGCCGTCAAGGCTTCGTAAATCTGAAGAGTTGATTTGATTGCGATACCGTCTTCGCCGATTGGCAATTTTAGCGATATCTACCAAACATTCGTCCACTGGTCCCAGATATTTTTAAGTTCCGCTTCAGATGGTAGACCCCATGCGCTTCCTCTGTCGCTAATTTCTGACAAATCTGATGTATACGTCTGTGTATTTTTCCTTTGTGTTTTTCCACCCAATCCTTTTTCAAAAATGTTCTTTTAAAGCGATTCAACAAAATTTGTGGTTGTAATGTTTATATAAGTGCATTTTAACATTTACCGGGCACCATATAAAAACATTTTGTAGCGCCCACTCATTAATTAAAACTTTTGACATTCGGTTTCGTTAATTACGTTAATGTGCGCTTCTGTTCTAAAACCGATTATTTTTTTCCCATATCAATCAATTGCATATGGCAGTTTATTCCAAAAGCCCGTGAGCGTGTGATTCTCCTTGTCATATAAGCTACATTCCTAACACACTTCCAAATATATTTCTGAAAAGAAATAAAGTCGTCTTGATATAAGTATAAGTACGGTGTTTTCCCCTAAGTAGATTGCTTACAAGCTATTGAATTTCTCTTTAGAAACTTTCTCGCTCAAAAGTACAATTTTACATTACTTACTTATCGGTATTTCTGAGAATACAGTGTGGCATTAATTTTCAGAGTTCATGTTTTACATATCGAAGACTTCGGGTCAAGTGCAAGATACTAAAATAAATTATAGCTATATATATAAGCCATGTACATGTGAAGATGTTTTATTTTGATCAGATCCACACATTGATCAAGAAACGTTCTACCAACAAATTTCATCCTTTGTCACAACTCACACTCATGAATAATATAGAAGAGTAGATGAGTTTTTAAAAACAAACAAGTATTTCATACAACTGAATATATAAAGCAAATTTTGTTCCTTTCGGGACATCCATATTTGCCAAACATCCTCACAATTATAAGCTTCACAGTTGCAAATGTAATTTCACAATGCGCATGGACATCTAAAAGTAAGCGAACACTTAAATATGTGTAACAATGGAATTTTCAAAATAATGCCTATATATCAATGCATTAACACGGACAGACTTTTTAGGGAGATGAAAGAAAAAGAACTTATCAATATACTGAATCCGGATCTGAACGCTAATTAAAAAACCATTAAGTTTATGCTTACATTTAGATCAATAGTATGTTTTTAACAGGTGACTTCACACCATGTAAATATATGCATTCCTAACATAGTTATTATAATATGATATCATAGAACGTAGATAATAGATAAACTAAATTCCACTCATTGTAAATATGCACCTGAGGAGCTAACATAAAGCGAAAACGTTTGTGCAAAATTTGAGTGGCTTTTATTTTATTTTACGTTATAAATGTCTCTTTTGGTTGCACATTGAAACCTTTTCTATATATATATATATATATATATATATATATATATATATATATATATATATATATATATATATATATATATATATATATATATACTATATATATATATATATATATATATATATATATATATATATATATATATATATATATATATATATATATATATATATATATATATATATATACAGAGAGAGAGAGAGGTGGGGTGTTGTGAGCGACATACAATCATATAATGTGGAAGATTGTAAATGCGCCGAAAATATATTTTACAACTACGCTGATGGTAACGTTTTCAGTTTATTCAGCTTCGTTTATTTATTTCAGAATGTGGATATGTTGAAGTTGTTTTATTTAAGCTTAATATTCTAAAACCGCGGATGCTTCCTTTCGCCCGCAAAATGTCTTTTTTTCGTGTCAAAACATTCAAAATGTACCTCAAAATCTACAAGATCTATTTACTCCGCACACTAGTCTTTATAGCTTGAGAGACATTGATTATCTGAAGTGCTCCTTTAGCTATGATGGAGCAGTTTTGTGGAATAGTTTACCAACTTAACTGAACTTCGATCGGCACAATCCCTAAGCGTCTTTAAAAGAGGTTTAGAAAGTTGGTTAACTTCTGTGGACACGGCAATCTTGTAAATCAGTAGCCTATTCCTTGTCCTTTTGTATAATAGTTTTATCAATTTTTCTATATAATGTAATTTTGTACTGATGATTCTACCGTGTTTAAATAAAGTTTCAATACAATACAATACAAATATGCGACTGCACTTCTAATGGTCTCCCAAAAAGGTATTTTATTTTTAAAAAATCCATTAAATTGGTCAAGTTTAAAATGCAATGCTTACAGTTATATCTCTCTTGATTAATCGACACAAAAACGATTATCTCTATGTATAAGCGCTCTGGTTTCGAGCGGGGATGGAGTTGTATTTTTATTATCTTTTAAATTAGTGTCATTAGTTTAGTATTTTCTCACGAAATCGACAATTTTTCTAACTAATTTGTCGAAAATTATAGACGATTCTTTGATTTATTTTGCATTTTATTCTTGTGTAAAGTTTCAAATTTCTGTCTGTTTTTAAAAGAATCAAGTCCAGGCTTTGTGTGTATATAATACAGCCGTATTTCTGTAAAGTATTCATAGCCTTTATACCTTACTCTGTTCAAATACTTTTTATTAATTTCTGTTTCATCAGAGCGGTCAGAGTACATAAGTTTGTTGGTGACACCACTGGTGTGTTGCACGTTGGTCCACAACAAACTGTGATTGGTCAGTTTGCTGATGACGGCGAGTTTGAAATAAATACATATGTGTATAAGGATGGTGTACTACATCTCCCTAAGACGTTTCTCTGCCGTGAAATTCAGATTACTAACAGGTGGGTTGAACTTTTTTTTCTCAACTAGCTTCTTGTCCGGCGATAACACTTTCAGTATTTTCGGGAGATTTATCACGGAATCGATTTTTCTTTATAAATACTAATATGAAAGACATAAATTTAGGTCCTTGCATGCAGAAATCGATTATTTATTTATTATAAATTACATATACCGGCATACCTACATTGGTGATACAATAAATTTGAGATAAGCGTAAATCATGTTATTTGCATTTTACAGTGTTTGATTGTGGTTCTGAAATATAATTGGCCTAATTTACGTTGTTTCCCAACCTGATGTGCGCCGTTTGTGTCGATCAGTTATTATTTTCACCCAATCAATTGAACTATTAACGTAGTAATTATATCGAATTATAATATAGCATTTGTAAATTCTGAACGCTGATTGGCTAAGAGCCGTGTTGATATAACTCTATGTCAACACGGAAACGTCGGAAAACGTCGTGTTGATATAACTGTATATCAACACGGAAAATGTTTTATATTTGTTAAATATATAATGGTGGGACGTATTTTTGTTTACAATTTTTTAGGGGCACAATAAATATGATTGACGTGACATTAGCCCACAACTGTCATCTTCTTCTATCACGCACTGGTACCACAAGACTGGCAAACAAGATGGGTACATTTCAGTTTCGCAGTTTGATAATCGCCGATGGCGGCGAGATGACGTCAACTAGTGAAGTCAAAAACACGAGTCTTACTCTGGTGATGGACGAAGGCAATGTTCAGGGCGGCGGACGGCTACACATGACAAACATGGTTATTGAAGCGGGAAATTTTACTGTGGATGATCTTGGAATTGTTCAAGGCGATACGTATGATAACAGGTGAGTAAAAATGATTTAAAGTGAAATATGATAGATTTTATATGAATTTCTTAACATTTTACTGTTCAATGTCTCAGCTCGATAGCCTGTGCATATTGTTTCAAAACGGGCTACTGTCTTACCCTCCCTATAATATAAAATGTTAAGATCAAAATTTAATTAAAGTGGGTGTTTTTATTTTAGTTGTTCTCATGGCAATGGCTTGTCATATTCTCTTGGTTCATCTGGTGCTGGCCATGGTGGTACTGGAGGCATGGGAACGAATCAAAACCGTGTTGGCACACCATATGGGAACCTGTATGAGCCCACAGACTTTGGCTGTCTTGGTGGCGGTGTAAACGGATTTGGTTTGGGTGGAGGAATTATAAAAATGATTGTTTTAAATAAACTTAAAGTGGATGGAACCGTCACATGTAGTGGAGCTTCAGGAGAAGCTATTGCATCTGGTGGTGGCAGTGGGGGAAGTTTGTGGATAGAAACAAATATTATTCAAGGTTAGGACAGGTCTGCTTTATCATGGAAAATTGGCATGGTTGCAATAATAGTGCTAATATGTTCCTTGTACGTTTGCATGCAAGATAATTACTCGAGCCGTACTCGAGCTCAGCTCGAGTCGTAGTTTCGGTCGGGCTTTTTTTCGCGCAAGACTTTTTCTCCCACGCACCCACTCTTAATTCTGACCAATCGAAACAAATCGTGGACGCATGTGATTATTAGTGATTATCTTATTGGCGTTCAATGGCTCATTCGACTTCCTGCTCTTCGTGCTGGCGTTCAATGGCTCATTCGACTTCCTGCTCTCGTGCTATTATAAACTTTGTTTACTCTATCATATGGCTCTGAGGATTGTACTCAGTACTCGTGTAATAATAGTGCATTTTAATATGCGTACTCGATCAAGTATGTTGTATGCTCTTTACGTGCGTGTTCGATCAAAAGTAAACGGCTGTACGCTTATTTTGTGTGTTCGATCTAGTTTATATTCAAAATATCTATCACATGTAACTAAACTATCAAACTTAATTCCATCGGAATCAAAATACTAGTCTACATGCGGCAGCCGGGTAGTTTATATTCAAAATATCCATCACATGTATCTAAACTATCAAACTTAATTCCATCGGCATGGAAATTTAGTCCTATAAAACTGCTAAAGTGTTAAAAATATTCTCTTAAAATTTGCTCGCTCGATTGATTTGTAAATAATGCACTTTTAATTATTAAAGGAGTAAGATGTAAAATGTATGAAGTAAATCTTGATGCGAACACGCTGAATGCCTGAATACGATATTTTGCATGATATTGGCTCTGCAAAGCAGGTATTCGATTTCTGCAGAAATGCCTTCGCAACCGCTTCCATATAGTTTCTAAATTGTATAAAAAGTTCGACATTGATCTTCTTTGGCTAGATTTGTACTGCTTAAATTCATAAAAACTAACCTCTTGCTTTGTTACGTTAGGTTATGGTAAGATTCAGGTTAATGGAGGTGATGGTCATCAGTATTACCTTCAAAATGTTGGTACATATGACGGAGGTGGTGGAGCTGGAGGCAGACTGGCTGTGTACTTCAAAAGTAATCGTACCTACAGCGGGACATTTGAGGCGTATGGTGGCAACAGTGGTACAAATGGTGGTACTGCAGGTGGCGCTGGAACTATATTTCTTTACCATCGCGTATATCGTCATCGCACATTGATTGTAAGTAACCACCTACGTTCACCTGTCAAACCACGCGACGAAGCCATTTCCAGTTATTCTGATCTTTCTCTTATTCCTGGAACTGCTTGGTTGTTAACAGAAGGTAAAATACATGAGTTGGCAAAAGATTTGAATTACCATTTTGAAGAGTTGCAAATTTACGGCGGAGTGCATCTAGCTATTCATGAAAATTCCGGTGGAAAGCCAAGTTTACATTTTCGACACATGATCGGAGATCGCTCGGGAACAGTTCATATCGGCCGAGACCAAAAGATGGATCTAAATAGAACAAATATTGACTTGCCATTTAGTGTTCATGTGTACGATGCAGGCTACCTAGGATTAGCACCCTACACTGAGGTACATGGAGTGAACATACATGTTGATGGTGTTATAGAAAATATTGATGATCTATTACTACATCATAGTGGAGTGCTGTATTTGAATGAAGGAGCGAAGACTGGGAATACTCATATCAAAGATGATTTTAAGTAAGATCTTACATTGTTTGTATTTCATTTTTTCCCCCTCAAGATTTTCCGAGGTGGGAATTTTCTGTACGTAGTCGACTACAATGAGCTGCCAAAGTTTAGGCCTGAAATATATGAAAAGGATTAAAGATCCTTGTAACTAACCTCCTAATCAAGGGTCTTTGTTTCAAGACGTCGAAGGCTAGGTTTTTAATCCAAGAATTTTGTCAATTTTGAATTAAAAGGTGATTTCATTACAATTACGTGTCTGTCTTTATTGCAGGTTCAGAAATATACGTATCCAAGCAGAAGGTATAATTCACATGCATTCCTCCCCAGTGTCTCACGACGGTATGAATCTCAGTGTGACGTTATTAACTATCGAAGGTGGCGGGAAAATGATTGGCAGTGATTTACATATTGAAGCTACTGACCTGACTATTGACGCCGGTGGAGAATTATCTTTGACAGGGGAAGGTTATAAACTTAGCGATGGCACTGGTCAAGGTGTTAATGGTGTTATAAATTTTGGACGAGGAGTTAGTTCCGGAACTGGATCTTCCGGGGGAGGTCATGGAGGTACAGGTGGTAGAGGCTCGGCTACAAAGTATGTTGGATTGCCGTATGGGAATTTATATGAACCAACAGATTTCGGAAGTAGTGGTGGTGGTGACACAGGACAGGAAGGTAAAGTTGTAAACCTTTATTTCTTTAGTTTAATTCAGTGAACTCTAAGATGAAATATCTAGCATATTCTTACTGTCTGTCTGACAGAAGTCTGCACTTTGAAGAGATACCGTCTCGATAGGACCAGTTCATGTTGAAGTGACCAGTGTTCAAGTCTTAGAAGGCTTAAAATCTCAGTTAATTCTTTTAACACTCTTTACGAAAGACCTCCGTTTGATACCTTTTTTCATGGTAATTAATCTCAATATTAATATCAGTTGTTAGTTATTTATTTTATCTACACTACTATATTAACCTTGTCTAGGAATGGATTGTTTAATCAATTAAAATATTTATATTCTTAGGTCGCGGCGGAGGTCGTCTCTTCCTCAACGTATCAAACCTTCTTGAAATTGACGGAGACCTGAGTGCTGATGGCCAGGCGGGCACATCTGACAATGGTGGTGGTAGTGGAGGATGTTTATGGATATATACTAACATCATTAAAGGATATGGTACAGTCAGGGCGAATGGCGGAGCGGGATCAAATCTTGGGGGTGGAGGTTCCGGTGGTAGGATTGCTGTGTACTTTCAGAAGAATGAAACTTTCTCGTATTTCTCGTACCGCGCACATGGTGGAGTAGGTGGGTCAGATTCCGAGGCCGGAGGGTCAGGAACTGTGTTCCTCTATCACTTATACCATGAACACCGTACACTCTTGATCAATAACAATGGACAATCAGCTTTAAACAAACACATGACCTATACTCAACTTGACCGCGAAGGTGGAAAGGCCTGGATAATGCCTGACTCGGGGATTCACGAGTTTGCTGATTCTGAAAGTAAGTTTCATTTCGAAGAACTGCAAATTTACGGTAAAGCTCATTTCGCGTTTTGGCCATCAAACAAAACCAACATTTCCATTTACTTCCGCGATATGATTGGAGATCGTTCAGGAATGGTTCATGTGGGTCCTGGGCAAGACTTGGATTTACAGAGAGAGGAAATTGATTTACCGTTTGGCGTTTATGTCTACAAAGAAGGCCATCTTGGATTAGCTCCCAGAACGTTTGTACACGGAGTTGAGATTGTACTACGCGGTACATTATCACATGTTCGTAATATCACGCTACATCATGGCGCACAGCTCTGGCTTCTGCATGGAGGTCGTACTACAAATATGAGTATACATCAATATGAGTTTGATTTTGTCCGTATTCAAGACACTGCTATTGTTCATGCAGTCACATCCCCTGTCAAAGACCCTGGGATTACATTCTTTACTAAATCTATGGAGATTGAAGGCGGGGGGTTGATGCGTGGAACAAGGTTAACTTTTACCACAACAAATCTGACAATAGATGACGGGGGTAAACTTGTGGCAGACAATCTCGGGTATAATACATCACATGGCTTTAGCGGCAATGGATTGCATGGCTTGATAAATCCTGGGGCTGGATTTAGTTCACAATACGGAGGATCTGGTGCAGGACATGGTGGACGCGGAGGACGTGGTAAGTTGACGAACGGAGCAGAAATCACAGGTGCCCCATATGATGACTTGTATGAACCAGATTTGTTTGGTAGCGCTGGAGGACGAAGAGATAATACCCAGCGAGGAGGAAATGGAGCAGGTGTAATCTGGATGAATGTTACAAATACAATCAATATCGATGGAATCGTGACGGCAAATGGCGAAGCTGGACCGAGCGATGGCAGTGGTGGTGGCAGCGGTGGGAGTATCTGGGTCCACTGTAAAAGAGTCCTGGGATATGGAAGGATATCTGCCAATGGAGGAGATGGGTACATGAAGGATGGATATAGACCAGCAGGGGGAGGGGCAGGTGGCAGAATTGCAATATATTTCCAGGAAAATGAAACATCAACATACTTTGTGTACGAAGCACGTGGTGGGGCAGCACGTGGCTGTCAAGTAGGAAAAGAACATCTCTGTGAAGCTGAGGCAGGAGGTCCTGGAACTGTGTTTTTGTATCATATGATCGAAGAACATCGCACACTACTAATCCATAATGGTGGGCAAAAACCTCTAGTGTCTGCAATCGCAGATTACAATGATCTACGAAAAGATGGCTGCAAAGCATGGATTTTACCTGAATCAGGAAAACATCATTTTGCAAATAGAGGGCAAGATTTTCATTTTGAAGAGCTTCAAATATATGGAGGTGGTCATCTTGCTATATATACTGATCCAGTTGGTAAGCCTGCGTCGTTGTTTTTTAAACATATGATCGGTGATCGTAGTGGGGTTATTCATATTGGCTTAAACCAAGTAATGGACTTACGTCGAGATGAGATAGATCTCCCCTTCAGTGTACATGTCTATCTCGGAGGATACCTAGGCCTTGCTCCGTATACTGAAGTACATGGTGTAACGTTGTATTTGTCTGGAGTTCTTGCACATGTGCAGAACATGACACTACACCACGGTGGTGCTTTTTGGATGTACCATGGAGGTCGGACTACCAATCAGAGCAACAGTACATACAAGTTTGATACAGTCAGGATAGAAGATAACGGGGTTATTCAGGGCTTAACCTCTCCAGTAGACCATCCAGGAGTGACGTTCCATGTCCGTGCACTTAGTGTTGAAGGCGGAGGTTTATTCCATGCCACACGTCCTGCAATAATTGCTGAAAATATTACAATTGATGATGGCGGGCGTATGTCAGCAGATGGTCTTGGTTATAATAGAACACACATGGATCTTCGTGGTTTGCATGGGATTGTAAATCCAGGACGGGGTTTTCTCTACTCGGGCGCGGGGCACGGCGGAACGGGCGGGCAAGGTAGCGGATCAGTGCAGGCTGGATTACCCTACGATGACTTATACGAAGCTATGATGTTCGGAAGCAGCGGTGGTGGATCAAAGTCAGGGAATGGCGGAGGTGTTATGTTCTTTAATGTCTCAGATGTCTTTCATATTGATGGCGTGGTTAGTGCTAATGGTCATGAAGTCACAAAGGGTCGGGATGGAGGTGGGAGTGGAGGAAGTCTCTATATATATTGTTATGAAATCCAGGGAACCGGATCTCTCTCTGTAGTTGGAGGTCGTGGCGGACCTGAAGGCGGCGGGGGAGGAGGTGGAGGTCGCATCAGTGTTTACTTCATAAAAAATTCTACGTTAACTGCGAAAACTCTGGTGAGAGGTGGGGCAAGCAGTGTTGAAGCTGGAGGCTCAGGAACTGCGTTTTACTACCACCTGGTACAAACCCACCGTACATTACTGGTGGACAATGATGGGCAACATCCTATAGCTCAGGTGGTCGATCATTACGACGACCTCTCTCGACAAACTGGAAAAACCTGGATATTGAGCAATTCTGGTCAACATATATTCGCTGATACCTCGCATCGATTTCATTTTGAAGAGTTACAAATCTACGGCAGCGCTCATCTTGGGATTACGTCATCAAATATCACGAGCCGTGTGACCTCATTGTTCTTCAGTTTCATGATCGGCGACCGCTCGGGAACTGTTCATGTTGGTGATCGCCAAGTACTCGATCTACGTCGAAAGTTCATCGATTTTCCAGCGCACGCGCGTGTCTACCAAGGCGGTTATCTAGGGCTTGCTGACATCACTGAAATTAACAAAGTGTCACTACATTTGGCTGGAACTCTTGCTCACGTGCAGAATTTGACTCTTCTTAATGGCGGAATATTACATCATTATTTAACCGGGTTTACTCAGAATGCACCGGGACGGACTATAAGGTTTAATGAGACTGTTCGCATTATGGCTGACTCAAAAATACTGACCTACAGTGAGAATGCAGATGACAGGACATTCACTCTGGAATGTCGGATACTGTTAATTGAAGGTAATTTGGCATGTTTACGTTTGACTTACATAATTCTGTTTCATTTGGAATGAAATGAATAATTGGATACTAAGGATCATGTGAGATATTCATCGTCTTTGTTGTTTACAATAGCTTCCTTTACTTTCACTGAAGTCAGTGCGGTGTTAGTTTTCTGAAAACAAATCGACACGACTCAGTTCTACTTTGGATTTTATTTAGGAAAACTATGGTTAGTGTGGCACACAACCAACGAAAACCGCGAAATTTATTTAACGACAAGCGGGTGAAGTAGTTAAAACGTACAGTAGTTAAGGTGTGAATGATTATGACGTTATCTTTAAAGAAATTTTGAAACATGGGACATAACGAAACAGATTATCACCAGCTTGTTGTTGTAATTACTATTTCAATATTTAAGCCGGTGCTGAGCTGCAATTACTATTTTAATATTTAAGGTGGTGCTGAGCTGCAAAGTAAAAATCTTTACCTAAATGCTGTGAACCTGACAGTTGACGATGGTGGAATAATTAATCTGAACAATGGCGGACATTTACCAATGCAAGGTCCTGGGACTGTGACTACTAAGAACTGGCGGGCAAGTGGTGCTGGGCATGGTGGTATTGGGGGACAGCCCAAGTGTTCTGGGTACAAGACTTGTCGAATTCGCAGAGGTTTAGCTTATGGTGATATGGTAAGCCCCGCGGAGTTTGGCAGCGGAGGCGACAGTAATGTTGGCGGAACTGGTGGTGGGAAGGTTAAGATTGATGTTCACCACACTTGTAAGGTAGGAAGGAGTATGACATAAATCTATTTTGGTTGGTGGTGTACACTCCTACAATATCTAACATTCCCTACAGACAATAGTTGGAAGTAGGTACACTATGTGGGCTGTTTTCTAGGTGAAGCGTGTACAAGTAGTGAAAGCGAGGTTAGTGTGTACAAAAGTCGAAGGTTAACAGTGAAGGTTAACAGTGACTTGACGTTGCGAACGAAACAGAAATGAAACCAAAAGCTGTATTGTTTAATGCTGTTTAACAAAGCATTGATAGAAGTTAATGATAGAGAAACTGCAGTGTGTGAACTGCCAAGTGTATGAAATAAATTAATAACAATACGTTTACCTACACTGGATAACGTATCGGAAATTGAGAATTTGTTTTTGTTGAAAATGCTGAGAATTCTGTCCATATGTAATCCATATTGCCTCGCCAAGTCATATAGGACCCACTATTTTTCAAAATATTCAAATGATTATGCTACTAATTCGGCAACTTGTTGTTTGTATACTACTTTTTGATAAAGTTATTTTGTTTGAATTTTATTTACATCGAGGCCAGTAGCCTGAATACAATAACAGAACTTTTATTAATATTTTTTTTAAATTTAATTTTCTACTTGTATTAATTGTGTATTAATCAAAACCGCCTTAAAACATTGGTTAAAAAATTTATTTCGTTTTATTATTTAAAGGTGGATGGCTTTATCGAAGCTAAGAGCCTGAAGACAAACGCAGGGGGTGGTGGGAGTGGTGGAAGTATTCTCATTCGGACACAAACCTTCACGGGCGGACATACAGGTGCTTTACGTGTGACTGGAGGAACATCCCAGGCGGGCGGTGGTGGCGCTGGTGGACGTATAGCTGTTTACTACACAAATAACCTGACTGAACCTTTCTATGGCGGTGTGTTTGAAACATATGGAGGTGACTCTCCTTCTGGGGGAGAAGCTGGAGCATCCGGAACCACATATCTTGAACACGTGACAAATGGATACACAACCCTTCGAATAGACAACAACAAACACGAGCCAATTCGCAACATCATTAGAAACGAAGGTCGTAGGGTATCTACATCCGGGGGTTCAAATTCCCGTCAGGTGTACACTATACCCGGTGGGGTAACTGTATCAAGTTCGACAGCGTATTACACCGGACCCTACCCACATTACTATCCATATAATATTGGTCGGATGTTTGATGGTAATCTTAATACTCGGTTTATAACCACAGCCACAAGACCAAGACTTAGTATTGATCTTAAGAGAATTGTTTTTGTGAATCATGTCCGAATTTATCCTGCATGTAGTGCTGGGCCTGCAAAGTTTAAGGTAAGCAATAATTTAATAATTAGTTTTTCCGCCGATCATGCATGATTTACCCTTTAGGTAAAAGTTTGGAAACCTATTTAAATTGTGCATTTAATTGGGTGTTATTTAGAAAATTTTCAGGTTATGCAAATAATTGTTGTGATGTTACAGAACACTGTTTTTGTTACGAAAACCTTTCAAATCGCAATTATCTAATTATAAATGCTTCCAGAACCCTCTTTGCAGCTCAAATCGCTTATACCAGCTGCCCACAATAAATTTCTCCTACCCAGGTTCTTTCCTCTACACTCAGCGAGGCCGGGAACGTAGAGGAAAGAGCTGGGGTACGTGGTAGCTGTTACGTTAGTTTTTTGATCATTTTTATTTTCAGTTGAGCGGTGTGGACGAAGCAGGCCGGACATTCGTGATTCATCGTGATTACGTTAACATGGCATATGGCTGTACGCAGGGTTCATATACTGATGTTAGCTTTATGAAGAACACAACTCGGATATTCATAGATCTGATTGCAGCCGTACATAAATTCACTAGTCTGACAGAAATTGAAATATTTGAAGGAACATCCTTACCTCGGCAACGGTAGGTAGTAAAGTCTAGAAACACTTGCAGAGCAGGTGTGATTGAGTTTGTATGTTAGATAATTTGGCCCTAATGAAAACATAATGTAAACGTACATTGAATTGATTTTTCCTTTCATTTCAATTGATTTTTCTTTCATGTTCGTGTTTTGTTTTTGAAGCATATTTAATTTCCACTATTTGTGACAATTTTTGTGGCTACGGCATGGCGGTATAGCACTCAGCGAGTGCTTGAGTGGTTTCGACTGCATTAGGTCACAGTCAGCAACCGTACGTCGGCCGATATCAACAAGTGCTCGTGACTAAGACAGTATATATACTGTCTGTCATAGTTAATACTGTTTATATTTACATCTTTACGTTTGCAACTAGTTCCTATTTGCGTTTTTCAACTGCTTCCTGAAGAGGTTTTTGGTATTATCGAAATATAGAAGGTAAGAAGCAGTTATAATTTAGTCAGCTATAATAAATAATGTACATGTTGTATATCAGTTATTTTAAAAATGAAACGTGCCAAGAGGGCCACAAGCCAAACGACTTCTGTAAGATATTTAGGATTTAAAGGCTCAATATTCGGCATAAAATAATATATTTAAATACGTTGGTCAAATTAAACGATACAAAACATGCAACGAGTTGACAAAACGATAAATTCTAACAACAATGGCGGTCGTAAAGTTTTATTTATTTATTTATTCTATTTACCCCAAAACAGGAATGTCGGTCTCAAACTACGTGCAGTCGGTCTCAAAATTATGCGTTTGTTTACATGATAGATAGACTCAGAGTATTGAGTTGGAAATTTGCTCAAACGGATCAAACAGCTCAGAAGTAATATGAAGAAATATTACGTACTTATTTCGCGACTATATGAACGAATTATTATTCAAAACACGCGCAAAGGGATGAAGTTTCCATTTACTTTCCAAACATGGAGATATCTATATGTCACGATTACGTGTTGGCACTTTTATTTGGAATTTAGGTTCTGCAAGGTCATTCACGGGTGATATTCTATATTAGCGAAAATTTCAAACCCCCAAAATCAGACTCCAAAATGCGATGAATCTCGATCAAAATAGCTAACATTAGTTACAATATTTCTCCGGTCCCTAAACTATATTTTTAAGATGCAAAGTGCAAAAACGAATTTCTAGCCGAGTTATATTAGGAAGTATGTTCACATGTAACACGATATGCATATGCATTTTGTTACCAAAGAGTTTTATGTGCCTACTGCAATCAAGAAATTCGATCAGTGAACGACGCACTGGTTTATCTGAAATCACGGAGCGAAAAATTGTTTCCACTGACTAGGCGATGTTTCCAATTGTTGCTTAGTGTCAGGCCCATAACTAGGTATACAAGTCAATCGCGTTCAAGTTCAATGACAGACTGTATAGTTCTCTCTATGTAAAGAAGCATTATTCTTGCCCTACAGTGACGTAAGAAATGGGAGGCTGTATGGGTGCACAAGTACCCCAATAACAAAAGCGCGGGCCAGCGCCCAAATATTACAACAATTGAGCACAAACACTTTTTTATTATGCACCTGATCAATGATGTTCGACCAAAAATATTTGTAATTCTTAGCCTCGGGATTGGGGAAAACTACAGTATAAAATTATAGTTATTGTGTCACTGTTTATGAAATTGATATTTCGTTTGAACTGCTCCCAGAATGCAGGAAATAGCGTTTCTAAGCCTTAGAAAATTAAAAATTTTCTGGGGGAGCATGCCTCCAGACCCCCACAGAAGTGTCTCGGTCAATCAAAAATCCTATAGTTACAGTACGAGCCTGACAGTTCCTGTAACATCCGCATCAACCGAGCGCAGCTTTTCAAAGCTGAAATCAGTGAAAACTGTTATGTGTTCAGTAATGGAACGCCTCGGTGAACTCTTGACTCTTTGCGTGTGAGCGCGATCTAACAGACACGATCGATCTTGACGAAATCGCTAATCCGTGGTCAAACCTGACTAAGCGCGGACACTTAATAAAAATATAACGTTTCACAGCAAACTGTACTGTACGTGTTCTTGCAAAATTCCTAATAAATGCCATCAATTCCCATGCTTTGTACTCAATTTTATTGCAACACACCAACTCACCAAGAGTCGGTCTGGATTCACATTTCAGTAGTGAGTCGGTCTCATTTCGTGATTACACCCTCCCAGTCAAAATCGATATGTCCGCCCCTGACTGAGTGAATCCAAAGGACGGGCTTTGTGACATTTGACACAAACAGTCTTGTATGTGTGCGGCAAATTCTGGGTTATACTTATAAACATTAAAAGTTTTTTTTCCCATGTGTTTCTCGCATCGCACGCGTTCTCGACTCACGTCTCTACAAAAAATACGTTACAACTTCTTTTCTTCGAGACTTTGAACTATGCTGCCTTTCGCTGTAAGTCTCCCTTTTACTTGTATTTGTATTCCGTGCATGCATTTTACGACTTTAGTAGCGATTCGGAAATACAAACATGATTTCGTAATGTCAAAGACAAAGTAATATAATTTTTGCCACCACATTTACAGAAAATTGCCTTGAAAGTTGAAATCGGTATATGTTATTTCATGTACATGTAATCAGGTGTAAACAACGTGGCGTTTTGATTGGTCAACGTTAGTGGTCGTAAAACTGTACGAAATATATGTGATGGCCCTTTAATATTTTGTTGACTTTCCTTGTGTTCTATATAACCTCACTTAGTCTTGAAGCAAATCCATTACATTGTTAGCTTTAACAGCTGTTAATCAGCGTATAGTGGACATTTTTAGTCTAAAAACCCATTTGAAAAACACGCAGGCATGTTCAAACTCCCGCCTTGACAGCAACAGTAATTTATTGGCTGCGAAATAAGAAATTTTTCATCTTTGTTTTAATAACTGTTTATTTTTTGTTTGTTTTAGGTGTTACTCAACAAGTCTTACCCATACTAAAACGAAAGTTTGCACAGACCACAGCCAGCGGTCTGACTGAGTGTAACAAGTGTGACACCAGTACACCACAAAACAACGACAGTTTGAGCAGGCAACAGCTAGCGGTCTGACAGAGTGTAGCAAGTGTTACACTCAACTTCTAGAGCTGTTAAGAGAACTGAGAAACTTAAAGCTACCTTGAAGACTAACATTGAAGCTATCTTGAACTTATATATAAACATAATATAAAAGTAATCTGATAGTTATATTCAGAATAAATAAAGGGATCGTCTACGCTTAGCGTGTCTCATTTGCCTGCATTATAATTTATAAATTTCCGGGGTTTTTTTATTATCGTGTGTTTTCTGTTGGTAGGTTCAAATCTGTGAAGTCGTGGATATAAGACAATAGTCAATACAGTTATACTTGAAAAAATAGAAGATGCGTAGCCAGGTTGAAACATTATTTATTGAGCGTTCTCTGACTTAATATTTATTTCTACGAGCTTTCGGCTATCAGTCTATAGCCTTCGACGGGTGTATACAAAAAATTATATACACCCGTCGAAGGCTATAGACTGATAGCCGAAAGCTCGTAGAAATAAATATTAAGTCAGAGAACGCTCAATAAATAATAGTTATACTTGTCTAAATTTTGCAATTATTATATCTAACAATTATACGATAGCTCGAGTCGTACAAATAACAACTATTCACGATGTGAAGTAAAGGTAAATAGTGCAGGGATGTCGCTTCAAATAAAACAGAACAGTATTTACACGCTTTTAGTAATTTTATTCATTAGAATTAGCTTTAAAGAATACTTTTAGACTGCATATTATTAAACAAGACTTTGTGGCTTTCTTCGTGTTTTGCGAAACCCAGCTTCGTTTAGTACAAAAATTTGCTCGGATGTACCCAAAACATGGTTTTAACATTTTGCCATTTTTTTTCTGTTGTTAGATATGAAAACCTTGATGTGGACAGCGCAGTAACTTGGCTACTTCTAAACTCATCTTACTATCAGTTTGATGAGATCCATCTTCTAGGATCAGCTCATGTTGCTTTCAAAAATCCTGCTAATTCCCGAGCACAGATCTCGATTGATAATCAGAGAATGTATGGTGATAAATCAGGCACTTGGCATATTGGCTACAATCAGAGATTTGGCATCAATATCACTGATCCTGACACGCCATTGAGCCTGCGAGTGTATGAACATGGTGAACTTTCGTTGCCTCGGAAGAGTTTTCTCAAAAGTGTGAGCGTGTTCCTTTCTGGCAAGGTAATTTTAATATGGACACTTTCCCGTAAAACGGACTCTCCCCGCGATCATGTCATTGCTAAAATCGTTCGGCGTTTGACAGACAAAGAGAGAATATTGACAAGGGTTCTAGATACCGTTTAAGTTTGGGTCATAAACTGTAGTAAAGTAGAAACTTTTTTCAGTTTTAAGTGGAATGGGCTGGCGTCTATATTTTTAAATTAACATGTAATGGGGATTAAGTCCATATTACATATATATTGTGGATAACTCGACCAATTCTGAGTTTTGTCGTTAAAGGTTCATAAGGGTTCATTACGGTTCATAAGGTTTCATCAAGGGTTCATTAAGGGTTCGTATGGGTTCATCAGGGCCCATAATGGTTCATAAGGGTTCATAAGGTTTCATTACGGTATAAGAGGAAGCTGGAATAGCAGGAGAAAACCTGCTCGGACAAACAGTGTCTTCTAGTGTTTCCTATATGGTCTCTCTAATTCTGTTTTGTTTCATATTTAGTTGACTGGTTTGAAAGAAGTCTATGTACTCCATGGAGGTCGTCTCGAGTGTACAGCGGCAAGCTGTATAGGTGCTCAATGTAATTCATCAGAATATGACTTAAGATTACTACATGTTCAAGATGAAGGTTTCGTAAAACTTGGTGACTCAGAACACATGCCAGAACTGCAGATGAACCTCGTCAACTTTACCGTGAGTAGCAAATGTTTGTCAGTTTTAACAAAATTTGAAAAGTACAGGTACTACGTGCAATAGATACCATGTTGGAGAGGGTGTTAAGCTTGTAACATAATTACTAAAGAAACTTTTCAGCAGCTGCAAAAGTGAGCTGAATTACGTCATCATGCATTAAAAAGATTTATACTATATACAGTAAAATATATTAACAAGTATGCCAGATGTACGGTACTCATACGCTGGCATTTCAAAGGATTTCTGTGCGTATGAAAATTATTTCATTAATTTTCATACGGTTCTCATACGTTTCTCTCTTACGCAATAATGTGATAGGGCCTTTACGAAAGAACAATAAGCCGTCCATAGGTGACTTTGAACAAGACCAGTTCGCCTTCGGATGCGAAGAACATTAGCTTAGAAGCTTTCGAGGTGATCTTATCAACGTGTAGGTTCCAAGTAAGATCTGCTGTAATCCACACACCCAGAAGTTTGAAAGATTTGACGGTTTCTATCGTATTACCGTTAATACGCAATGGTTCTAATTCGAGTGGCTGTTTAAGGAAACTAATCGGCATTTCCTTTGTCGTTTTAACGTTAATATTCATTCAATTAGAGGATGACCACGAAGTAATTTGATTAATCTGGCTTTGGAGATTGGAATTGCAGTTCCTATTTAGAATTCCAGATGCAGTACAGTCGTCAACATATTTAATAAATATTTAATAGTAGGATCTTTATTACTGGTTGGAATTGCGGCAAGATCGTTGATCATAACTATAAAAAGTATGGGACCAAGTTTAGTTCCTTCTGGAACTCCAGCAGGTTTAGGTAGCCAGTTAGAAAATGCCTTTGTTGACGGTTGTGAAGAAAGTCAGCAATCCAGTTGATTAATAATGGATGAACTTCAGGGGTCTGTAATTTTCGTAAAATGATGTTGTGGTCTATGCGACCAAAAATTTTAGCAAAGTCAATCATACATGTTCGAACAATGTTTCAAGGTACATCAATTCCTTTACACCAATCGTGAGTGAGCTTTATAAGAGCATGAGCTGTTGATGAATTGTTCATGCATCCATACTGGTAAGGATCAAGAGAGGGTACGAAGTGGTCCCAGAGCCAATTACGAACAAAACGTTCAAGCGTTTTTCTAAGAACACTCGTAAGTGAGATCGGTCGTAAATCATCTTCAACAGAACGAATCACGCTTTCTTTAGGGATTGGTATAACGTCTGCACATTTCCGCAGCATTGACACAAAATCTTCTTGAATGAAGACGTTAAAAATGTGACAGGTTGGATCGGATGAGAGAAAGAATACAATGTTTCTTTAGTAACCAGTTTGGAATGTTATCTGGGCCAATAGATTTCTGGGCCAATCACTTTGGACACTGCCCACCAGGATGAAAAAACTATCAGGAATATTACCAATAGGCTTTGGGCACTATGAGTTAAGGGCAATGTTGTTGTCGTTTGCTACATTAGCAAACGCTTCATTTATATAGTTAACTAAGGAATGACCAGTTAGAAATTAGAATTTCATTTTGGTGCATGATATGAATGGGTGATTTCTTTTTGGAGGTACCTAATAAGTCTTTAATTTCATTTCACCAGTTGTGTAAGAGTATTGTGTATCATTTAATCTCATGTTAAAATATTTCCGTTTAGCTGATTTACAAATTTTATTTAGTACAAGGTTTCTGTAAAACTTGAAGCAGGATGACTGTTTATTTAAAGACCAATATTTTTGCCTCTTTTCAACTGCTTCTTTGATCTCAGGAGTTATCCAAGGTTTATCTGTCGGGTGCACTTTGAATGATTTTATTGGGGAGTGCTTGTCAATTAGTTTATTAATCTGTTCATCTAGGAAATAATTAAGCTTTGACTGACACTTGGGAAGATGGTAAATGGGTGTCCAATTGACTTTATTGAGGTCATCGTCGAACGGTTGTCTCCTACTAGGGGGTATCTTCGATTGCGAACCGTTTTGGCAGGTGCGTGATGTGGAAGTTGGCATGGTCTCAAGGCAACAGACGTTGTTATCAGATAATCAAATACTATACTGTAGTTAGCTGAAAGACATGAGTATGAGGTGAAAATGGTATTCCTTTAATTGTGTTGGGTCACGATGAATCTGAATAAGTGAATAAGTTTTCTATATATCTACGAAGTAATGATGGAGTTATATAACTGGTTCAATCGAACAGTTTATAAACATAAACATTTACAATATTTACAATATGCAATATTTTTTTGTTGCAGATTTACGGCGGAGGGCACTTCGTATCTCATGGTCGGCTCACAATCAATGCTTCAGATACAGTGGCGGTGAACTCTGGCGGGATCTTGGAACAGAATCATTCTGGTTACAAGACTGGGACAGGACCCGGTCAAGGAGCTGGACACGTGTCTGGCGGTTCAGGAGGGGGCTACGGTGGTAATGGTGGACGCGGGGTTGGGATTCTTCTAGCAGGACAAACATATGGATCATTGTATACTCCTCATCATTTTGGAAGTCCTGGGGGATTTGGCAAAGATTATGGTAAGTATTTGTTTTAATTCAAGTAATTTATGATGTTTAACTAAGAATCGAACCCAAAGCTTTTGGTTTAACATGATGGACCCTGAGCTGTTGATATGCCTCATTAATACATTCTGAAGTATGTGCAAATACCCAAGTGGGATGTTTAATCCACTGTGAAAAAAGCTTAATAGATAACTAACATCAACAAAATATATACAACCCTACATCCTGTGTGATCTACATATTGTGATGAATATGTTTTTGCTTTCATTTCCAGGAAACCTTTACTACGGCAGTTACTACTATCAGAGCACTAGTTCTCAATCAAACCAAGTCACTATTGGAGGAATGGGAGGGATTGGTGGAGGATCTCTAAGGATACACTCGAAACGTACTATTATTGATGGGCGGATATCAGCCAATGGTCAAAATGCGCCCACTGGTGGTCAACGAAGTGGCTGTGGAGGTGGCAGTGGGGGAAGCATTTGGATTACATGTGATGAGCTGGATGGTTATGGATCGATTCAAGCACGTGGAGGAGCTGGCTCAACGGGTAGAGCAGGCGGAGGTTCAGGTGGACGGGTTGTCGTAAACTATCGTGATATTCATAATTACAATGGTTCGTTTTCTGTCCGAGGAGGGACTGGTCTCGAAGGTGGTGCATCCGGGACTGTGTATCTGGAACAAGGGAATGGTACACACGTAACGTGGCGAAAACTAATAGTTGATAACGAGGGACTATCACGGCCAAAGGCTGTAGATAGGAAAGCGGGGAACTTGTTGAACTTGTTTAGTGGAGTATATAGTGATATCAGTCAAGTTGGTACAGTGACATGGCTTAAAGAATCAAACAATTACACGTTTAACGAACTTGTTCTGCAAGGAAATTCACATCTTGGTATCTATGGTAACGCCTCTCGTGGGCATGTGAGCCTGAAAGTACATGTTTTGACTGGAGATCGTTCAGCAGTTTTACACATTGGAGCATTGCAAGAAGTTCATTTCCGCGATATTGATGTATACTTTCCCGTGAACACGTTTGTGTACCCTCGTGGCTCATTATTTCTTCCTAAACGTGTTTCGTTACGTGAAGTTTGGATGTACGTGAATGGTTCCGTCTCGGACTCGGAGGAATACGTGGTAGATAGGGATGGACAGCTACATTTGTGGTCAGGAGGAAACAGTGAGGGTGAACCAGAAGGAACATTTGTATTTGTGAACGTCAGCATACGTGCTCGTGGTCGATTATTTGCCACCACCTTGGCTGGACATGGTAAGATGGCGGTCCATTGTAACCGAATGGTGATCAATGCTGGTGGGAAGTTCATATCCAATGATGTCCATCTGACTGCTGTTAATATCACTATTGATGCGGCAGGTTAGTTTCCAGCCAAGTTATTTATTAAAATGTTCTTCTGTGATCATTATTCTTCTTCATTGATTATTAAATCAAATGTTCATTTGTAATTCTTAATGTTAATTTCCCTGAAGTTGATACTGAGAATCGCTATTGATGTTGCAAGTCAGTAGTATTCAATCTTGCTCATTTTTAACCATTGATTTCGTTTGTGTCAAATGATGTTCATTTATAATAACTACAATATTTCCCTCAAGTATTTTTTTCTTGTTTACTGATGCTTTGTTTTATCTACGAAATATTTATCAGCAACATTCGTGTTTTCTTACTAATCGCTGACAATAAATTTTATCCATCAAACACACCCATGCTTGCAATGATGTACATTAATGTTCACCAATATTTGTTTGTATTCAAAGACATCCGTTTATATCTAACATTGTATGTATGTATTCACCAACATTAATTTCTACCGATGTTCAATTTTATCCATTCAGATTCATTTAATTTGTTTCGCCGTACGTTAATCACTTTTTTCAGGTGAAATAACCTCCAGTGGGCTGGGTTACGCTGTTGGAAAAGGACCCTCATATAGAAATGGCTCGCGCCCAGGCTCCGGCGGAGGTCACGGTGGTAACGGTGGTCGAGAATTGTATCAACTACAATCTCCATTGGCTTATGACTCCATCTACACACCTACCGAGGCGGGCAGTGGGGGAGGCGGATCCCCTGGAGGAGGGATTATAAATATCAATGTCAGTGATTTGTTCAGAGTCGAAGGAAATGTCCGCGCAAATGGGTTTGGGAAGAATACTGGGGGTGAGTATTGATAAAAGGTGTAAAAGCCTGCAAAAAAGGATCGCTAGTCTAAGAATGTTCTACATATGTTTTATCTAATGGGGAATCTACGACAGAGATTTGGAGAATGAAAATTACATTTCTTGATCGATTTTCTCTTGACGACCTCTTTTTAATGTCACTGTAATGAACGACTTCCAAATTCCGAATTCCTTTTAAATTCTGTTTAAGGAGGCTCCCTAAAGTAGCGTGCGGGAAGTTCGCGGGACCAGTACGTGAACTATCCCACGCAACCGCATGATCAAAACGGCAAAACAAAAATTGACCAGGCTTTTTGTAAAAAAAAAGCTATTTCTGAAAGGTTTCTAATGGAAAAAAGCGTTGAATAATACTTCGTTTTGAGTGCCAAATCACTTGCGAGTCTATACAGCAATTCTACATATGATACGAATACGAATATCACTAGACCGAAAATAGCTACGAAACAATGTTTTTTAATTTTTTAAAATTTACACTGTCAACTGTAAAACATTTGCAAAATTGCATACAAACGTTTAAAAAGTTGTTTACTTCTCAAGAAAACGTTCACGGTTTTAGTCGTGTTTCTACGAGATTAAAGTGATTATATGTAAACACAAAAATATTTCAGTTTCATAGCCTAATTGTTCATTTTTAGCAAAATGTACAAAACCAAACATGAAACAAAAAAACACGTCCACCTGTTAAAAGGCTGACTTACAGCTCATAGTTTGAGTAAACGGCAGGGTTCAATTAGCTTCAACCTTAAAGAGGTTTTGTTGTTTCACCGATTTGATCCTTCGCAATAATCCTTGGCTGTCCATGGCACTCAAATAAATCGAAAAGTTGACAAAAACAAAACAGTAAAAACAACATTGTCGCTCGATTTTTTGCTGAATGAAAGCTCGTTCTGCGCCCGCGTACAATCTTTTACTAGTCAGCGACGTTTTTCAATAAGGGGAATTTCTCGAGTTACACGAGGCTATTTTCTAACTTTATTTGCATTTTACTCATTAGTTTCATCGGTGATCTATCTTCAAATTTTGACCACGAATTTTGTTTTGCGGTAAATTTTATAAATTTAAATTTTTAAAAAAATCATTAGTGTGGAAATTTCGCAATAAAATTTTCGCTTTTAAAAAAATCACACACTACAGAATTTTTTTAAACTTTCACCACAGTTGCAGAGCATCATTCCCTATTGATATATGAAATAAAAAAGATAGGTCACCGACATCGTTTTTGAGATAGCGGCACATTTATGGGTTAAATTGGAAGGTTTTATGCTGTCGTCATGTTGCCATGGGAACATTGACGTTGTCGAAATCTAGTTCGAAATATTCCTTAGGTGACCAATATTGCCACCAAGTCGAAAAGAATTCGCGTTCTGCACGAATAAGCCTGTTTTACGGAATTATTGCGTAAACAAGAATAACTGTAGGGAACACCTTAATTGAAAAGTGATTTCATTTATGGATCTTTAATACAGCTGTGGTCTCTAGACAACGATTGGGCACTGGTTTTGTAAATTCTGAACGCTGACTGGCTACGAGCCGTGGTGATATAACTCGGAAACGTCGGAAAATTTCTTTCTTTATATCTCTTTGTGCTATATTATAAAACAAATATAAAACTTACATTTTTTCCGTATTCATATATAGTTATATCAACACTCGTGGAAATTGGGAAAACTCGAAATTGTGTGAAAACACTCCGCCCTTCGTGCGTTGTGTTTCCACGCAATTTCTCGTTTTTCCAATTTCCACTCGTGTTGATATAACTGTATATCAACACGGAAAATGTTTTATATTTGTTAAATCTTGCCTTGTTATAATTCTCGTTATCGCAGGTGGTGGTGGAGGCACAGTCCTGGTACGTACCAATCATTTCGATGGCATGGGAACAATAGAAGCAAGTGGTGGAGATGGTGCCACAAGGACCACGAGTGGTACCCAGGGTGGCGGAGGTGGGGGAGGCAGGATAGCTGTATATCATTCTGGGATAAATACTTTTATTGGAAGTCTTCAAACGTATGGTGGAGAAAGTTTAGCTGAGAGAGGAGGTAATTTAAATTCCCTTTGTTTTCTTTAGCGAAACAGCATATTTATTGATATTTATATAATAACGTTAAGAATTCAAGCACTTTCATTGGTCGAGAGCCGGTCAGACGCACGGAATTACGTCACACAAAACCTTATACAATAGCATTCCCTTATTTGTATAAATCATGTACGTGTGATTTTTGTAAAATTTCGACTTTTTCAAATTTCCAAATGTTTGGGTGGATAAAAAGTAAGTAGCCTGCGAACAGACTCTCAAGCTGAATTGAGAGCCTGCATCGATGACTAATGAATTTGAATATCTGCCCCGTAACGTTCGTTTTTCCAAATATGGAATGTCTGTTCTTATTTGGAGTTGTTTACAACTTTCGTGCAAACTAAATTTAGACCGTGCAAACTAAATTTAGACCGTACAGTTTATACTGTTTTTCGAAATATAAGATATTAAAGCAAAAGTTCAAATGTTTTAAATACTGTTTTCTCAAAACAGAACATTTCGTGCTTTGAGATAAGATGGCCAAGACCAATTTGATCAGTTAATGTGTTTTTTATGCATAGTGCTTCAGCATTTGACATATATAGAGCTCAGCGGAAACATATAAATTATAGCATCTGACCAATGAGAATTTCGCGTCACGATTTGAGACGCAGATATTCAAATTCATTAGTCATCGATGCAGGCTCTCAATTCAGCTTGAGAGCCTGTTCGCAGGCTAAAAAGTAAGCTATTTACCTGTCTAATTCCGAGGCCAAGTCTGTTCGAGTGTGTGGTATTCCGGAACTAAGTCGATTCCCACCGTGGTCAGGCTAACTTTTCAGCCTGCCCGGTATTGATATACACTCAGAGTAACATCAAAAACATTATGTTCACCTGAGTACATAACATCAAAATACACACAAAAAATCAAAATCTTATGTATTTGTTAAACACATCTTAGGCTACGTTTCTTAATCGATTTGCTCGAGGTGTTTTTAATGTCACTGTAATGAACGATTTCCAGTGTCGTCTGTTATAGAGATTATGTTGCCTTGATATACACTGGAAATCGTTCATTACAGTGACATTAAAAACACCTCGAGTAATTTTTGGTTCTTGGACTACCTATTTAGGTAGTCCAAGAACCGAATAAGTGGTACGGTACCAAAAATTGAGCGCAGTGTAAACGGGGCTTAATATAACTTTTGAAATTAGGGAAGAAATTTTGTTTAATTAAAAGGTGATTTCATTTAATTAAAAGGTGATATCGTTTATGGATGTTTAATACAGCTGTGATCTCTAGACAACGATGCGGCACTGATTTTTTCTGTATTTATAAAAAACATTATATTCACCTAAGTACTGTACATAACATTAAAACACACACAAAAAAATCTTTCGTAACCCCCGATCTTCGTCAGTGCAACTAATTTGGCGACGATTCAGGCTTTCAGTTTGATATCAATGTGAAAGAAATAGGCATGACATTTTCAACAAAATAAAACAGTTATATTTATCGCCATGTAATGCAAATATGAACCTTCTTATTCCTTTGTTATTTTGTTTTGACGGTTAATACTGAAAGATACATTTTAAGGAAGAATTTTGCACAAAATAATTTCGTTTCATTCATACACTATTACATACAATAGTTATTGGTTGATCGAGATTTTAAGTTTCGACTTAATAATCAAATAATGCACTCAGTTATGACATAGCTTTCGTTGATAGGGATATAACTACCTGAAAAATACAAGGAGAAATTTTACGTTTCGAGCGGAGGCCGTTCGTGGGAAGCTAGTCGCTAATAACTTCCCGACGAAGAGCCTTCGCTCGAAACGTCGAAATCCTTATATTTTTCAGGTAGTTGCGTCCCTACCAGCGAAACCTTTGTTATTATTGGGATTATACCTACACTGGCACAGACCGTTCAGTTATAACATGGTTAATAAATTTAGAAATTAAATTTTAATACGATTCGAGAGCAAAATACATTTCTGTATTACTTTTCCAAGGTTCTGGAACAGTGTACATTCAAAACGACAGTGGTAATACAACTCAAAGACAACTCATCATAGATAACGGTCACACCACTGCATCATCTAAAATCGTTGAAGTTCGACAGTTGTTTATCACTGATACAAGACATTATCGTTATTATGTCACATCGTATACATCACCCGAGGGTATTAATCTCCGTACAAGTGGTCCACCACATTGTCTAAGAGTTTGGCAATCCCAATGTCTCGCGGGAAATGGGCAGTTGTCTTACGTATTTTCCGGGACCAATAATTTTTACTACACTACATCTTCGAAACCTGAATTGACCTATACCTTCCCATATCCCATAACCATGAATCATTTGAGAATATTCCCACAATGCAGTTCGGGATATTGGACAAATTATCGAGTCCATGCCTACCTGGGTTCTAATAAAGTATTCGACCAGGGATCGTGGACTGAAACCGAGTTATGTAGTCAGGGTCAATATGGCAAAGTTGAAATACAAAAAGAAGTTAATAAGGTGGGAGAAAAGAATGTATTTCACTGGTCTAGTAATTTAGGTATGGCGTCCTTGTTTCGCCATTACGACTACCGATCGTCATTTGCAACTAAAGACGATGAAAAACATTGTCTATTCTCACCTTAAACTTTTATGATTTGAGAGGTTTTAATCTGGTCAGCCAACATTCTGTCGCTAGCCTCACTCTGATAGGCTGGACTAAATTTTTTCAGCGGCTGTTCAGGCTATAGTAATTTAGTGAGATTCCCTTTTCTTTTAGATCGTAATATCGCTTTCGAAAGTTTCCACTTATTCGGCTATGAACGAGGTGCAGTTATTTATTCAAGAAGTGTTCCCTAGAACATCGCAGGCTGTGATTCAAACACCCGAAGCCTGGATTGTAAATGAAGATGAAAACGAAACTGAAAAAGAATTATTGAAGTTCGACAAGGTATAAAATATTGTTTAAAATTAGCTTTGGTTGTAAGTTCTGGTTAAAGTCGTGCCTCATCTGTGCACAGAATATAAACTCACGTGAAAGCTGAACGCTACTTCCTCCAAACTAATCACACCAAATATTCATGTTTTCAAGATGATCTTACGTCGCGGAGGTCGCTTGAGCTGGTCAGGTGAAGGAGTACATCTTGGGATAGACGAGTTGGATGGAGATGGAACAGGGTCAATAAATGTTCGTTCTACACAACAACTCTCAGTAACCCATACTACAAGCTTTTTCAAGACAGAACTCTTAGCTCATGTCGACTCCACATTAAATCTACCTAAAGACTTCAATTGTCACTCAGTGAATGTTGTGGTCCGAGGCGCTGTAAATGCCCTGGAGAAAGTCACCGTTGGTCCGCAGTGTTTGTTCTCTCTAGAGAGGGAGGGCGAGAAACTAAATTTAACCATGAGTAAGTTGGTGGTTCAGACTGACGGCCGCATGAAATTAATGGCAAGACATGACGAGGTTGTGCTGCAGGGGATATCTTTGGATATTCGTGGTGGTGCTAGGGTAAGTTTGCATGTTAAATGTTAGAAGGTGTTCTAATTGCCTGAAATGAAGATGTGACGAATTGTTGCCATGAGGTTCAGACCAGCTTTAGACATGTGTAAAAAAGATGGTGTAGCATTAACCTATTTTCTTACTTGGTGGAGCAAACCAGCACCTAACAGTACATAAGGTACATTCTGCTTCATATTTGAGGCCCATTGCTGTGCATATTTTACTAGTTTACCTGAATTTCAGAACATGAAACAATTGTTTTGTTTTCAGCTTGAAGTAAATAAACTAAAACTGGATTTCACGAACATCACCTTGGAGCCTTATTCCACGTTGTCAGCGGACAACCAGATCATGCCCTCCACACTTCATGTAGGAGATGGTAAGTCTCACACTTCAGGAAGTAGTGGTGCTGGTCATGGTGGTCATGGTGGTGTTGGCTCAGGTCAAACTTTAGTTGGAATTTCATACGGTTCGTTCCGAACACCACGAACATCTGGCCGACCTGGTGCCGCTCCTGTTTTTCCTCGTGTACCCGGCTATGGTGGAGGAGTCCTGGAACTAGTTGCTCAAAATACAGCTCACATTGATGGTACAATTTCTGCAAGAGGTGGTTCTGCTATTTCCCCGCGAGGGAGTGGTGCGAGTGGCGGCAGCATTTTAGTTTATGGTAAACATCTTCGTGGGCAAGGTTTGCTTGACGTTTCCGGGGGAGATGGGGACAAAGCATATAGTGGGGGTGGTGCAGGTGGAAGGATCAGTATTTACACAGCTGCTAATAATTACATAGGCCAGTACCAGGCTCTTGGCGGAGAAAGCAATATTGAACCGGGAGGAACTGGAACTGTGTACTTAGAACGGATCACTCAAAACGCTACTGACAATATCGAGGTTTTGGCGCACCGTAATGTATACAGGAATGAAACAGAATTTGATATCCAGAATAGAACACTATATATCAACGCTTATGGTCGACTACCGCGTTACCCAGACAGAAACCTGAGTTCTAGTTTTGATGATCTCACACAAAATGCATCCGCGCGCACGTGGTTGACCCTTGATCCTGAAGATGACAACATTAAGTTGAGTGAATTACAAATCTACGGTGGAGCACAAGTACTATTTATCATCCCTCAAAAGCCGAGACATCCATTGTCTATAACTATAACCAGAATGCAAGGCGATCGTACTGGTTCGTTCTTCATTGGTTACAATCAATCTTTTCTCTCTCTGGAATCCGATCTGCCATTCAATATGGTGATCTACCAGGGAGGTGTTACCACTATGCAAGGTGAGCTGATAGTTGCCGGGGTAACTGTTGACGTCGATGGTATATTACAGAAATGTCAAAATATCACCATTGCTGACCGTGGTGTTGTGAAGATGAAGGAAATGTATGATTTCCGTGGAAGGTCTACCAAGGTATGTCAACATTTTTTATTCAATGTAATCCGCCCTTCTTCCGTATACTTATTTAGTAGTTTGAAAACACTGCGAAGCCATTCTACACGGTAAGTAAATTATGCACAAAAGAAAGGCATGCTTTTCAAAATGAGAGAGAATTCTCTTTCTTGATGCGTCATATCGTACTGTCCTGCTTAAATACAAATTCAGTGGGTATATGTACTTTGTCCTGCTGTTGAATGACGGGAAAATGTTGTGTTAAAAAAACGTTGCCATTGTTGAAACTTGAAACGCTGCATCGAGATAGACAGGACCTATAGGCCTAAATGAAATTGAAAGTATTTTTTTAATAATTCTAAGAACATTTGCTGCTTGGTTAATATGTGTTTTTACTTGAGAAAACTTTCTTCCTACGTTTAAAACACATTTCAATGATGATATTCTTTTTTAAGACATTTGATTTTGAAGAGATCAGTATCCGTAACCATGGTACAATGACCGTTACGAACCAAGACAACATCCGGGAATTCAATGGGCGATCTATTTATGTGCATGCGGGTGGAAGGTTGTCAGCGGTTAATCTTCATGTGAATGCAATTAATGTGACAGTGGATGCGCTGGCTGTGTTTGAAGCAACTTTAGCTGGTCAGAACTTTGAGTTGCCAGGTATTGTATAAGTTTAGAAAGAAGTGCTGTAAATGAAAACTTTAAATGTGAGGTTTCACGCCCCACGACGTAGATATAAGAAATTGTAAATGTCTGTTTGATAACTCTCTTGGCCAGGTTTTCCACTCGAAACGACAAAGGGTTTTTAACACGATCAACACGATCGTACCACCTCAATTTTAGCAGTTTTGCCACCAGCTCTTGACGTTTTACCATAATAATTTTGATTACATTTTCAGGGCCAGGCAAGGGCGCTGATTATATCCCAGGATTCCAAGCGGGTGGATCAGGAGGAGGTCATGGCGGGCTCGGTGGTAGAGCGGTTGCACGAATGTTGTCTGGGCCCACCTATGGATCTGTATTTAAACCACTTGAATTTGGTGAGCAACATGTTTCCGATCCTTAACTTATAAATGTGAAGTGAATTAGATTATAATTTATGAGATAATAACTTGAAGCATGGTTCAGAAATTCTATGAAAGAACAAAACAATTTAGTATCTATGTTTCTGCACAAAGTTGACTATTGTAGTTAAATCTGTGTTTTATTATGCGATACGTGATGTTATACATGTATACAGTATTGCTCTATCTAGTGATAGTATAACATCAGGGTATTTATCTTTCAACAGGAAGTTCTGGTGGCAATAGTTTGTATGAACGTGGAGGGGTAGGAGGGGGTGTCCTCTTCCTAAATATATCCCACCGTGTCACAGTGAACGGAGATCTTTTGGTCAATGGGCAAAATGCCTTGGGTAGATACGCCGGTGGTGGAAGTGCTGGGAGTATATATGTCGTAACACAGCGGCTGGATGGCAGTGGAAAATTGCAGGTTAAAATTTTTGTTTTTTATAGTCGGAATTAATTAAACGCTGTGTTCTTGTTCACAAAACTCTTGTTGTTTTTGTGTCGCCATCTTGTTTTTGCTACTCGCGACATATGAGCTGATATACGGCGATCAAGTAGTCAGATTGACTATCATAGATGACTATAAATATTATAAATGGACATATTATTTCCAATTGGCCCACTGGAGTAACCTTTTTGCACCCAGTTCATATAATATTAGATTTGACACTCAGGTCATCTTACATACAATTTATTTCAGGCAAATGGTGGTAATGGGTATAATAATGGGCACCGAGGGGGAGGTGGAGGTTCTGGTGGTAGGATAGCGGTGTATTATAAGGATAATGAAGATTATGATGGAATATTTGAAGCTTATGGTGGGTTTGGCAACGAGGAGTACGGCGCAGCTGGAACAATATACCATCAACATATGACGTCATATAATGTAACAAAGAGGAGCTTATATGTAAATAACAATGGCCATGCACCACAAACAGAGCGAGTGACCGAGGTAGGTTTTATACAGGGTGTATCAAAATAAACGCAATTCATCTTTTGTGCTTAATAACTTTCGAAATACTATTTCTAGTTAAACGCTTTTAGGCTTACTTCAAAGCCTGTTCTTTTCTCTTTCAAACAAACTATTATCCTTGTCTCCAATGCTAGTAATAATTGCACAGGAAAAGATTTAGTAAAACCTATCATTTTTAGTTGCTGTTTAATTGCAAGTTTACTATGTTATTGTTTAGTCGGTTTAAATGTTAGAATTTTCTTCTTTAAACTTCAATGTTATCGTCACTACATCTGGAAAACCACGTAAGAACAAATTAAAAGTATTTTAAAAGAGACCAGGTTATTTGAAAATCTAAACGAATGCTAAAAATCGTCAAAACATTCTGGTGTCTGAGCCAAAGTGTCATCGAATTGCGATGTAATGTAAACAGAAATTATAGCAAGTTGATGTCAGTCAGCTTAGATGGTCCAAGCCAAAATTATATCGCATTTGAAGTTTCAAACCGAGTTAAAAATAGTAGAAGAAAAGCCGTAATTATACTTATTGTTACAATCCATTTAATAAAATGCAACATTTGTTTGTTTTAATGAAAAAATCAGTTATTTTCATGAGAACGATTTGTTATTCCATCTCAATTTTTTTAATCTCCAATCGCAATAACGTAAAGTATTATTACCCGCGAACCAATGAGTCAAATTTAAGAAACAACTCACTGTTAGAAAGCTGAATGGCTACGCTTTAAAATGCATGTAAACTTTAACGTTTTCGTCTATTATTTGTTTAGCAATTTACATTTCAGTCGAGGATTGCGCTTTTTTTGATACACCCTGTATATCAGACATTGTACTCTGGTTTTATTAGCTTTCATCGCTAGGTTACAGATTCTTAATGCGCCTGAATTGCCTGAAAAAAGATTAAAAGGTACTTACATTTCGAGTGAGTTTATTTAGTGATAGTTCAGAATAAAATCCAGCCAAAAAATCCAGCAGTTCAGAATAAAACCCATGTACAAGCCCATCAAAAATTATTACGAACGAATATAAGCCCAGAGCTCATATATTTATGGTATAAATAGAACGACCTTAAATTATGTAACAATTACTGTATCATACATATTTGGTATTATTTGTTTAGAAGACGTCCGTTAGATAGGCCCAAACTAAGATAATTGCATGATTATCTGGGCATTCTGTAATGCGAGTATTCCGGCAATGACACAACGACAACAACAATAACAACAGCAGCAGCAACGACAACGATAATAATAGTTTTTTAACTCCTTGTACATAGCTTTGCAGCATTAGTTTCTTTTCAGTTTATATTCTTGTACACACCCCGTTTGGAAACAACTTAGGTTGACATGGTAAACGTGTTTAAAGGAGTTATTTGCTTCAGCGAATAATCAATTTATTGCTTCCGTGGGAATTTTGTAGGGATATTTAGGGATTCGGGGTAGCACGCAAAATGGGGGTTATGGAGGGAACCTCGCAGGGAAACTCGTTCAACCAGTTTTATTTCCCGTGGAATTTTGCAACACATCAGTGAATTTCCGTGTCACGCTTCACGTGCATCTTGGGCCTACTATATAAAAACGTTGAGCGTTAACAACTCAAGATCATTCACATTTGGCTTCGCAAGGCAAGTGTTCAAGTCCTCACAAGTTTTCCTTTCCCTCCCGCCCTCCCTTGCCTCATTTTGCGTTCTACGATACATGTTACTGGCGGTTTTTGTATATGGGGCGTTTTTTAACACCCCACCTTTTCTGTGCTATGCATGAATACTAAATTTGTAACATTTATCTGTAATTTGTTATTTTTGTGTTAATCATTAAATCGGCATTGTGCTCCTGCACATTGCCATTATTTTATCCAGAACGGTGTACTGTCATTGATCTTTTGCATGCAGTCCTTCGCACAGAAAACGGAGCTCGTTAGGCTGATAAATTGCCGCTAAAGTTTAGGTTTTATGCATTGCTTGCTACCGCGGAAGCGATAAATGAAGTTTTTACTGCTAATAATAATCTTTTACGTTTTAGCTCTTTGAATCTTTGAAGTTATCTGGCGGCTCAGGTGGTACCCGGTCCTCCAGAACATACAAAGCACGCGAGGGTATCACCATAACAACCAATACTCCACCAATATGGTTAAATTATGATAATTATCTTCAACTTTACAACGTTTTTGACGGCAGAATAAATACGTGGTATGCAGCCAACTCTACATCTGCTATGTTGACAATCACTTTCTCCCAGCAAACATGGTTACAACGTATCAGAATATACCCGGTAAATAAATTATCTGTTAATATGTAACGCCTTATTAAATTGTGGTAATTTAATTGGCTGATTATGATCACGTGATATTGAATGGAATTTCCCATTTTATTGAAGGTGCGATGTAACGCGATGATCGACGTGTGATGCGAAATTAGCCTGGGGCGAACACGTTTTTTTGTAAAAATTGAAGAAAAAGCATAATTTGATATGCCTTGATTTTATATACAGTACTAGTTAAAACATGAACAGCAGTGTTTATCAGATATAAAGACACGAGGCGAAGCCTAGTATGATATAAAACACGCTGATAAAACACTCACTGCGAATGTTTTAAATTGCTTCAAAAACGACCAATTTAGTAAGTTCATTGGTGAAGTAATTTTCAAAAAATACGTTGTTTAAGTCGAGAAAATAAAAGTTAAAGTTTTCGTTGTGTTTTCCTCATGAATTATTAATGAGTTTTTGAATGCTGAACATTTTTAGTGTGAATACACACTGAATAATATATCTTCAGCATCACTCTGAGTACGGAATTATTTTGCATTTAGCAAATGTTATTTTCGATAATTCGCGTGGAGGCAAAATTTCAAATGAGAATGTCTATTGTGAATTTACATTATGATTTACTGTAAGAACCTACGAACTCAGGCATGTTAAAATTGCTCACAAGTATCGTTAAAGTTGGAATTTATTCTTAAGAATTATCATGGCTGAAATTTGTCCCTTTTTAAAGCCTCTTTTCAGGATGTTTAGCCAGTGTAATTTTAATTGTCTGCAAAAAATAGGGAAGATGCTATATTTAACTAACCTCTGATTTTTTTGCGTCTGTTTAATGCTGGGATTAAGTTTTATGTATGTTGAAACAGGATTTTAAAATGTTACTTAAACAATACTCTGTCACCTTATTTTGTTTATAGACATGCACACCAGAATATCGTGTCAGTTATAATGTACACATTACCACACAGGAAACAAAGATTAACCTAACGCCTTCAAATGTCTCATCCAGCGGTTGCTTCAATACTAGCGTATTTCAAGACACTAAAATCAATAGTGAAATAACATCAATAGAAATCAAGCTTCAAGCTTTAGAGAAATATGTCTCGTTGTCAGAAATTAAATTATTTATCGGTCGAGATACTGGAGATTTCAATGAAAGGAACATCGTTCAGGATAGTGCAAGAACATGGTTGGTTCCTGAAGACGACCAGTCCGGTGGATTTGAGGTTGATTTTCTGCATATAAGTGGTTCTGCGCATGTCGGAATATTACCACAGCCATCACACAACGGTAGTATAGTGGTTGGTGAGGTGGGTGGTGATCATACTGGCAGTCTTCATGTTGGTTCTCAACAGACGGTGAATATATCAACCCAAGAGATGACAGTGTTGCCGTTCAATATACAGACTTATAAGGTACAACAAGTTACATTTTATTTTCGTTGCGCTAAAAAACTTGTGACTCTAAAACTGTTGGATAGTTAGTTAGTCGTTTATAGATTAGTTAATAGTTGGATAATTGCTTGGATACTAGATTCTTAAATTATTAAATTATGTTGAATATTTATTGGTTAGTTAGTCAGTAGGTATAGGTTTTCACTAGTATAGGTTATTAAGTTTGTTATGGTTAAAATAAATTGAATTCGTAAGTGTTTAGGCAACATGTTCGGAGCTCATTATACCATTCTCTACCTTTCAAAACTAGAAATCTACGATTGTTCTTCCTGAAGAAATACATGTCACAAATGGCGTGTTTGTCACAAAAGGAGAAATATTGGGGCTAAAACGATTACGAATTGACGAAAATGGCGTGTTTAATGTTTTCCCTGAAGCAAGTTTAAACACAGAGATACCAAACAGTTTAAAACTCGACAGCTTACACGTATTTACAGGCGGATTGTTCCACCAGTCGCTGGGTGATTTAACAATCGGAGAACTGAATGTAACTCTAACAGATGATTTTGTCGTTAATGCTTATGGTACGGCGGATATCAGTGGACTTTCAGTCCAGGTAAATATCAATGATTTTATTGTTTAGTTGTGAAAAATGATCCTTGCGCTGTTCAAAGTGTGCAACGTTCAATTTGATTTGAGGCAATCGTATATGACCAGTTTCTGGAGTATCCGTTGATTGTTGCATGTTTAGTACTAAAGAGACCACGAATTAACACGTGCTGAATACGGCATCGACGCAGCTGAAAAGACTCGACTACAGATGTTGGAATGTAGTAAAATGTCCTATAATATTTTTCTCTAACAGGCAGGAAAAATTCAACTTGACACATCATCCATTTTGACTGCTCGTGGCCGTGGCTATCCCTCAGCTCAAGGGCCTGGATCTGGGGTTTCATTCTTGCAAGGTGGCTCAGGAGCAGGACATGGCGGTACAGGGGGACGTGGAAATCTAACAAGAGTGGGGGAGGCTTATGGTTCTGTGACTCGACCTCGGGAATTTGGCAGTGGTGGAGGACGGGGTACTCGTGATTTGGTATGTTAATGGAGATAAATCCTAAAAATATAACATGTGCTTTACATGTATTGTCAATTTTTCCCAGAAATATTGCATCAAGGAGACTGAAAAATATTCATTAAAAAAACTCAAAACTTTAAAACTCTAAAACGCATTATCTAATTTTGTAAACCTTGTTTGAATTATGTTATGTGATATTTGAGAATCATATACATTAGCAAAAAAGATCAATTATATTTCAACTCAGAAATTATTGCAGATGTTTTGCATATTGTATGACTAGATCTAATACAACCTTCCGGAAAGTACGTCAATACAGCTTTGTAGCCTCGTTTTCGTGTTTTTTACATTAGTAAAGCCAAGCGGTGCAATCACGAAAACGAGGCTTTACAGCCAATATTTTGGCAGCGAGCATTGTTTTCATTGCAACATCATATACAGAGCTTTTCCTAATTAACAGCGGTTTGCCGTTAATTTCAATCTTAATGTGACTGATGACTCGTTTTCCCCTGCAGCCAGGGGGAGCAGGCGGTGGTGTCGTCGCTCTTCAAGCACAAGTCATCAATATTGATGGTACCATTGACGTCAGTGGAAGTGACGCTCAAGCCGGAGCTGGTGGCGGAAGTGGTGGGAGTGTTCAGATATTGGCTGACAGGTTTATAGGAAAAGGTCGACTGCTTTGTAATGGCGGGAAAGCTGTGAACAACGGAGGAGGTGGCAGCGGTGGACGACTCAGTGTTCATTGCAATGAAACTGAGTTCAGCGGTAGAAATTCTGCCCTGGGTGGAGCAAGTACTGTTGAGCCTGGGGGACCGGGGACGATTTATCGCAAAATTGGAACAGGATATGAAACATTACGTAATCTGGAAATAAACAATGGTGGACATGTACCTGTTGACAATTATCTTGTCAGCCGTAATCAGTATGAAAATAGCGGAAAGGCGTGGGTGCTAGTTCAGTCAATTGATGATTTAAAGTACGATGAGCTGCGGTTGCTCGGTGGAGCGCATGCGTCATTTGTGTTGAGTGTGAAAGGAGATGTCTCTATAAATAAATTCTCTGGAGATAACACGGGCATGCTGCATGTCCAGGCGGATGACAGAGTCGTTATAAAGTCAGCACCTGCTGAGTTTCCATCATGGTTCCGTGTGTACGAGAGAGGATATCTGTCCCTGCCTGAAATCGTGCATCTTAGCAAGTTCTCATACTCGCAGTTGTTTATTGAAGGGAAAATAGGATATATAAAAGACTTTCGTATTGGCACTGGTGTCACTCTATCACTTGGAAACAAGGTAAGATGGTCATTGAACGATTCCAGAGTACTATCAGAGAAACATTTAGACCAAAATGGATATTCTTTTAGTTGCAAGCAGCGGATAAATTCCATAGATTTTAACTAAACCAGCCAACCAAACAAAAACAGCTGAGAATAATAAATTAGTATGAACAAGATAATTTCTATTAAACTTGCTCGGGATGGATATTAGAAAATGAAATCTGTTTTTGTAGTTGCAATAAAAAATACCCATTACATGATACATTTACAACCTGTTATGACAGAACCAATATTAAATTTTTACCCAATTGCAAGTTACAATCTAGTGCAATCGCTATCCAATGAATATTAAATGATTTATTATAATTATATTTTTTTTACCTCATGTCAATAAAGGAAAAACATTGATTCGCAGTTTATCTGCATCTGTCACAATTGTCACAATTAGTTTTATTTTCTTCTTATTTTCGTCTTATATTCTTGTTTTTGCAGGCTAGTTCGTATGGATTAAACGACAACAGCTTCAGACTTGGTTCACTCACTGTCATGCCAAATGCTCAACTTGATTTCTATAAGCCTGAGTCTCTTACCCAGTCTCTGAAGTTGAATGTCTCAGACAAATTTCACGTGTTTCCTGGAGGGATGGTCAGCTGTCAAAGTTTTGATGTGCACGCCCGAAATATAACGATAGAAGTCGCAGGCAGTATTGTAGCAAAATCATCTGGGTATACCTTAGGAACTGGAAAAGGTATAGTTAATATCCTGCTTGTCGGCTAATAATTAAATACCAAATGAAAACTGGATTGGATTCTAGGTAATTAGTTTCAGTCTAAGGCAAAGTTGGGATGGAAATATATGAAGTCAGAAATTAAAGTTTGAAATATTATTCACCCAATGAGCTTACGCAGCCTCATCATAGACCTAACGGTCTACAGGAAGACAGGAAACTACAAGTAATAATCTTATAAAATGTGCTAATGCACTTAAGGGAATTCCGCAGTAATTGTTCCCGAAATGAGAATGTGCTGAAACTTCCCAGGCATGGAGTTTATGTACTGTTTAATAAACGAGCAGGAGTGTTTTATTAGGTTTAAAGCCACGGGCGTGCAGGGCCTGGATCTGGACCTGCGAGTTTATTGAACGGCTTCAAACACGACTACAAATTCAATAGATTTATTGCCTTATTAGTATTCTTTATATAAAAAATACTAATGAGGACACGACTACAATAGATACTGCCTTATTAGTATTCTTTATATAAAGAATACTAATTAGGAGTGTTTTATCAGGTTTAAAGCCACTGCACGTGACATATTATGGTTAACATGATTTGCCAATAAGCTTATGAATTATTAATGAGTGTTTGAAGATATACTTAAAGTAAAATCACACAAAAAAGTCGGGGTCACCGGACTCGTTAAGAAGATATGACAATCACAATATACCACCTTTACCCCAATATGGCGCCATCTTGACGCTCATTACGAGTAACAGCAAAATTACAACAGCACGATATTTATTGACGTTTTTAGTGCGGATTTTGCTTTAGTGAACCTATCTTGTAATTATTTTTGAAAACATATTGTGTTTTGAGCAAAATGAAACTACTAACGTGTACAATTCTAATCCACAGATGTCTTTTCCACATTTCTTTACATATCTTTCTCTGAGAATATGCATTGTTCATTGATAAAGGATTTTTTTTTCAAGAACCGGGAAATGATTTTTCTTTTAATTTCGGATATGAAATGTAAAATGCATTAAAGAAATAAATTATCAGTTAAAAAACGGGGGTCACCGATCTTTTTAAGGAATTGTGACATTAAAACGTGAAGTACAAGTAAATATATATACTACAGACACAGGGAACCCTAGCTACACTTTTGTATGCCTTTTTTGAAAACATTGATTTTAACGTAATTCTTTGCACGAATGTAACCAAAGATGTTTTGAAGTAACATAAAATTGTCATAAATTTTTTTTTTTTAAAACGGTACGTATAATGGATGAAATTATAAGTTATAAGATATGCGCAGTAAAAGTGCGCAATGCAAAACTGCGGAATTACCTTAGTAATGCAATATTTTGACGACCTTTTTATTGTCATTGTGATTTCTAGGGAACGGAGGAGCTGGTCATGGTGGCAGTGGTGGATATGGTACAGTAGAATTCGACCGCCCTGGTGCTGTTTATGGAGATTTCCAGAGTCCAACTATGTATGGTAGTACTGGTGGTAACAATGGTGCTCCAGGTGGTGGTGTTGTTAAACTGTACGCTGAGGAAATAACCACCATCGATGGTACCATCATCGCAACCGGTGGCCACAGTTCTGGTGTTGGTTTTGGTGCAAGTAGTGGTGGTAGTATTTGGATCCAGAGTAATATTTTCACTGGTAGAGGTACCATACAGGTGAATGGTGGAAATGGTCTTGGCTATGGTGGTGGAGGTGGTGGTGGTCGCATAGCAAGCATATTTAAAAACAACACGTTTACAGGTATGCTCGAGGCCTATGGCGGGAGAAGCAGTCTATCCCCAGGAGGGGCTGGTACAGTATACTTAGCTAGCAAAGATGGCGGGTTTCGAAAACTAATTATAGACAACCGAAATATTGGAAAACCCTCTAGTGATACCATTGAGGACATCCACCGCGACGGAGGCAGGACCTGGTTGACACCCTCTGTTGGTTCGCCCCGAGTAATTCTGAGTCATCTTGATATACGTGGTCTGGGTCAGTTAGCGTCCTTGAAAAACTCCACCCAAGGTAACCTAGAATGGGACATTGGTACCATCACGGGAGATAAAACTGGATTGCTACATATACTTGCTAACCAAAGGCTGATCATTACTGGAAAAGAAGGAGAGAGCAAGTCAGCTGATTTACCTTGGGGTATTAATGTTTACCCACGAGGGGAATTGACATTGTCGGAGAGTTTTATGGTTGATGGAATAAAGATAATTGTTGCAGGACGCTTAAATGGAGCCAGAAATCTTACTGTAGCGAATGGTGGGAAGGTCATTTTAAGGTAAAAAGAATATAGGGTTAGTTACGATATCATACCATTTCATACGAAACCATCTATGCCATGACATGCCTTACCGTACCATACCATACCTCACTATACCATGCATTAATTGCATTTCCACTATTATTTTATTGATACTAGACAAATGATCGACCCCGAAGGGAAAATATCACGTCACACGTCATTTGATGATATCAAGGTACAAGGTGGTGGTATATTCGAAGTTGAAAGTGACGATGGTGGTCTTTCTGTGTCATGTAATCGACTTATTATCAACAGTGGTGGCAAGTTCCAAGCTACTAAGCTGGACCTAACAGCGAATCTCGTCAGAATTGAACAATCTGGAATCTTGGAAGCAAATTACAAAGCAGTGGTAATGATTGTAACAAGATATCGTAAAAATAATTTGTGATGTAGCTTCCGGGTTATAATACACGGCATAACCACTATTTAACGTTGGACTAGTTGTCCAGATTCCATACGTACTGAACTGTAATGTTCGCTTATGCTAATAAATGTTTCGGTAAATCAATTCTAATTTACTTAGATATTTTAGAACAGTTGCCAAACACAAAATCACGATTTTAGTTATTTCATTAATATTTAAACATGGTACATAAAAATGTACTCCATTTTCCCATATTCTCGGCTAAATTGACCATTCATGTGAATATGGGTAGATTTCGTGATCAACAATAAAACTTTTTTTAAAATACCTTGCGCATTAAAATTAACTTCCGCACACGATTTGAATTCATAGGGGGGTATTTTCCATTTATACAATTAGTGCCTTTTCAAAATTGTGTACCTTATATATAGCTATTTGAAATAATTATAATTATGATTTCGCGTTTCGCTATTAATCTGAAAATTTCTAGAAAGTAAATTAAGATCCAGACAGAAACAAAAAGTTAATACCAATGCTGAAAATGCCCTAGAAGTTGATAATATTTGATTAGTTTGAAAAAGTTGATGAAAACTAGTCTACTGTTGTAAATGCAGCTTTCGTCAAATCAAATTCGAGTACTTCATTTACTGTAACTTTGTTACTTTAATTTTAGCGTACCGTTAGTGGCCTGGGGGCAGGTTCTGGAGAATACAACCCACGTGGCTCATCTGGCGCTGGTCATGGTGGTACTGGTGGTCGTGGGCGAGAGAACGTAGACATCGGGGCATTTTACGGCAGTGTGTTTTATCCCACGTCATTCGGAAGTGTTGGAGGTGGGGGAGAATCCCCTGGTGGAGGAGTTATAAAGATAACTACGCGTGAATTACAAGTAGACGGTAATATCGAGAGTAAAGGCGGTTTGTATGAGAAAGGTATAAACCATGGAGGAGGCAGTGGGGGTAGTATATATATCAACACAACAACCTTCGAGGGTGAGGGTGTGATTGATGCATCCGGGGGATCTGGTAATGGTTATGGAGGTGGTGGCAGTGGCGGAAGAATAGCAGTGTATTATCACTCCAGTTCATTTACTGGTCAGTTTGCTGCATTTGGTGGGAGTTCATTGCACGAAGCAGGGGCTGCTGGAACAGTATATCGAAAGGATTACCGACAAAATTTGAAATATCTTTGGGTTTCAAACAAAAACCAGAAACCTCGCACAACACTCGTCAACTTTGCCAACCCGCGCAAAGATAATGCCCGAACATGGCTACCCTCACTTTCTAGTGATACTTACTATGATTTTGATGAAGTTACTTTAACTGGTGGCTCGCATTTAGTCCTGGAATATTCAACACATCATCAAACAATGGTGATTGGCAAACTGAGTGACGTCATAAATACTGACGTAACTAGTTATCTACACATTGGGCAATGGCAAACTGTTAATGTGCGTCAAACTGGTGTTATATTCCCTGTTAATATCCATGTCTATAAAACGGGCACGCTGGGAATGCCACCAAGTGTTGAAGTTAAGAATACTGTGTTTAATTGCGAGGGACGTGTGAACGGGTTGAAGGAGTTGACGGCATCTCAGACGACGATCAATTTTGGCGTCAACAGCGGATCAGTCACAGATGGCACATATGTCTCTGGGCACTTTGTTTTTGAACAAGTGACCATAAAGGCTGCTGGGAAGTTAATATTTAAAAATGCTGAAATTGGGAATGTCCTGAAAACTAGCAGACTTGAAGTCAAGGCTAAAGGTCTGATCCAGGCAAGAATATTGACTATACAAAGTGAAGTCATCGTAGTGGAAGAGACTGCAAGGATCACTGTAGATGGTCAGGCATTTGAACAAGGAGTTATGAATAAGAATTATGGAGGTCAGTGAATACTGATGTTGGAATCTAATAACAGGGACTTGTTATATAAGTTGTAGTATTGAGTCATTATTGAACTACGTATTGAACTACTAGATTTATCTTTTGCTCTGCTGCTATTAATAATATAATAGACATTGCCAGGTCCACACTTGCAACAGGTGACCCAACCTAAAGCGATTTTACTATGATTTCATTTGATTGACTTACTTATATGTAATTTACTTGACAATGCTTTTTGTCTCGATCGGCTATGTTTGGTCGTTCCGCTACGGGAGGAATAAAATTGCCTGGTGTTCAACAGAGTTAAATGTATTTATTAAGACAAAAATTTGCTGTGCCAATTAGGCTTTTTAAAATTATTTGGTCAAATATCAATTATGCTTTAATGAAGATTAAAAACATTGCTGCCTATTTTCATTTTTTGTTGATGGCTGTGAGAAAAGTTTCTTTTCTTTCTTTAAGGTCCAAAACAAGAGTCGTCAGGAGGCTCCCATGCGGGTTATGGAGGTCAGCGGTCACTTGGTAAGCCTTATGATTACATTAAGGAACCAACATTCCCTGGTGAAGGCGGTGGTCCCCCTCGTTACCATTCCAAACCGAGTGCTCCTGGAGGTGGGGTAATTCGTGTAGTTGTGAAAGATCGTCTGGTAAATAATGGAGAAATTTCTGCAAGGTTTGTGATAACTTCCTGCTTTGATTTATACTTTAGTCTACTCATACACGGACCCAAAGGGACCATTTAAGAAATAGAAAACCTACAATCATCCTACTTCAGAAATTGATTATTCGCAATAGCCTCAGCGGCGTAGCCAGAACAATAATTGGGGTGGGGGAGGAAGCCATATTCATACATTCGTGTTCACATACCATGAAAACAATTGATTTCAAAAGAAATTAATAAAGCAGAACACGAATATATGAATATGGGCCCCCCAATTATCGTTCTGGCTACGCCACTGAATAGCCTTGCAGCAAGTTTGTCAAAATATTGTAAAAATTTTGATATACTATAAACTCCCAAGTTTGTTACTTTCAACTTATTAACACTTTTTAAATGCAGCACAATTAATATCAAGTTTTTACAAGGAACAACTTGTTAGCGAGTTGATGAGATATGGAATTTATGAAATAACGTTGTTCCTTGTAGCTCTGGCGTAGTCTGCTGTAACAATGCTATTTTACGTCATTATACAAAGTGACTAACGTTAACGTACAACGTTATTAGGCATTAATTTAAATTATTATTCTTTTCAGAGGAACAAACGCTGTTAGCAGCACGGCAGGTGGCGCTGCTGGAGGTAGCATTTGGCTCACAACAAGTACACTTCAAGGTGATGGAACCATCTCAGTTTCCGGAGGGAATGGAGGTCACGATGGCGGAGGGGGAAGTGGAGGAATGCTTGCTATATATTATAAAGAAAACTCGCTACACTTTGACCTTCAAATCTCAGGTGGGAATGGTAAGACACCGGGACCTTCTGGAATGATTTATTTACAGAAAGAAAACTCGAATGGAAAACTTGTATTGGACAATATCCACCAAAATTCAGCTAGCTATGCAGCTCTAGTATGTCAACCTAAAGCTTTCGACTATGATTTCGGTGAAATAGAGATTCTACGTGGAGGGAAACTGAATATGATTTCTTGTGGTGTAATTCAATCGATGACGTTGCAAATAACAGCTAAACTAAGTGGTGATGGAAGTGGTACTTTGCAAGTTGGAAACGAACAAAATGTATATCTGACCACCAACAACTTTGAACAGGCAGCACCAATGAAGTTACAAAGTAGTATTGATATCCAGAATAACGGAGTTGTTCTCCTTCCAGAGAATATATTATTGACTGATGGTGCGAACCTCCATGTTGCTGGAAGCTTGACTGGTGTAAAAACTATCACTGTTGCAAAGAATGGTAAACTTGCCGCGCTATATCCTGGTGGTACATTCTACAGGGCAGCGCCAGGGGTGTTTGAGTTTGATACATTATATGTACAACGAGGTGGTATTGTTGAAAGCACAGATTCAAGTCTAGTCCAATTAAATATTGGTCTATTGAAGTTAGATTACGGAGCTGCATATCGCGTCCCTGGTAGAGTTGTTACAAGGTATGGTGAAAAAATGGAGCAAAGTCGAGGACCTACGTTAACGAGTAATCTCTGTCCATATGGTACGGTACACTATACTTCGGATGATATAAAGTATAACCCTTGTGGCGAAGGAAAATGGAGTTCAGTTTCGGCCCCAGTCCCTTACCAAGTTGTGATGAATATTTCAGACAATGATGGAATATATAGGCTGGTAAATGTGACAAAATACCATGAGAACTACAATATAACTTGTGATTATACCGACTTCCGTCTGCTTCCGGATCAAAATTGTGTTTTCAAACCAGGAATGTACAGCTATAGACGCCTGGAAGTTCACAGCGAGGCGACAATGAGTTTCGAAGCTGATCCTGGACGTGTACTTAAGAACACCTTACATGTCGAGCATCTCCAAATATATGCAGCTGGAAATCTCCGAGCCCTTCCCGTAAAGTGGTCGAGTGGACTGTCATCTGGTGTAGGCGGTTCATACGGCGGGGTTGGTGGCAGAGGTAGCCCTAGTGATGTACATGGTGATGTGGTGTTACCTGAGAGTTACGGTGTAAGTGGGGGTGGGTTCCAGGGGGGTGGCGGTCAGCTCAAGATTCGTGTTGCACGTGAGTTTATTCATGATGGTGTGATAGATGTAAGTGGGAGTAATACTAATACTGGAGGAGGGGGAAGCGGTGGCAGTCTGCTTATCTTGGTACAAGATTTGAAAGGCACAGGAGTATTCAAAGCAAATGGTGGAGGGAGTGTAGGTAGCAACTCGGGAGGAGGGGGTGGTGGTAGAATTGGAATCCACATGAACTCCTCTGCGGAAGACTTCCAAGGACAATACGAGGCATATGGTGGTAATGGTGTCTATCGAGGCACATCTGGGACAATTTATATCTACGATAAGAACAGTATTGAAGGAAACCTTATCGTTAAGGGCCAGGGATACCAATCTGCTTTTCTGCCATCAAACACAACATTGTTCGAAATTGATTCCCTTTATGTTGGAGAATCTGCGACATTCCAGGTTTCAGTTCCTCAATTAACAGTTAACTTATTACGGACCGACGGAAGTGGAAAGATGGTTATACGTACAGGACATGCGTTGACTATCATGGAACTTCCCTCTGATGGAAGGATTGCATGTGAGCTAGACGTTAGTGGTATCCTGGATATTCAAGTACCGGTTATGATCACCAGGACTATCAATCTTCGCGGGATAATTAAGACTTCTCGGTTGACCATAGCAAAGAGGGTAAATTTCATATGGACTCGAGGTGAATTAAAGACAAAATCCTTGAGATTGAGAGAGTATTCTTTTGCTTCGATTTCTGGTTTATCAAAGGTCAATATAGATGAAATTCGTGTAGGACCGTATGCAAAAATAGAGGTATATAATGGCGATTTCATTTTCCTTTGTAAACAATTGTTATTTTATGCACATTCTGTGTTACTTTCAAAATCTGAATTGAAATCCTTTAACATTACTTCAAACACTTTGGAAATGCATAACTTTGCATCTATTGGAGTGAGTGGTGGGGGATATGAACAGGGTCCAGGATATCACGGCCGCCGAGGGGTAGGTGCAAGTCATGGAGGACAAGGCGCGGGTGCTACGACAGATTCTGTGTACGGTTCGGTGTTTGAACCGAATGAGTTTGGGAGTGGGAGTCTGGATTCCGGTGGAGCTGCCCATCACGGTGGTGGAAAACTGATTATTAATGTCGCTGATGTATTACATGTGGATGGTGTGGTACATGCTGATGGTTTCGGGTCACGACAAGATGGTGGTGGTAGTGGAGGAAGTTTGATGATAAAAGCTAAGGTACTCAAGGGATCTGGAATGTTTAGAGCAAATGGAATGAGTGGAGGATCCGGGGGTAGAATTGCTGTCTATGTTGAGGATAAGCAAGCGTACTCAGGAGTAGTGAGCAGTTTTGGGGGATGTAGCACTACATGTGGAGCAGCAGGGACTGTCTTTATTAGAGAATATATAATAGGTTTGCCATATGAGACAACGATTGTGAACAATAATGGACGATCAAGTAGTGGCATAACCAGTATCATGCATGGAACACAGGCTGATTACACTTTGCAAAAACTGAGAATTACCCAAGGGGGGAGAGTTGAAGTGGTGAATCCTAGTTCCAATATAACCGTCAATATTAATGTTTTAGATTTAGAAGGTGATTTCACCGGTCAAATTCGTGTGCTAAACAATCAGAAATTATCTTTGGGATCTAGTAGTGTGACAGGCAGTCAACCGTTTGTGCTACGTTGCGCCCTAAGCGTTGAGGTTGGCGCTGAGCTGGTTCTAGCGCCTCGCGTGTTTGTTAAAGAAACGACATTGAAACCAAGTTTTGATGTGTTTGGTAAAGTACAAGGTGGCCAGGAATTAATTATTGGACGAAATGCATTAGTGTCAGTTTCTCCTGAAGGAGTTATCGGAACTAAATCTTCAAAAAAAGGCATTCTCACGTTTCGTGAACTTCATGTTTTAAGTGACGGCCATATTGTTTTCAACCATGGTGGAAAATCTAGCGTCGAGGTACGTGCCGTGTCCATTAACATTGAATACAGCGGTATTCTTGAAAGTCCGTTGGTGCTCCTCAAGACTTCTGAGTTAAACATACAAATGGGGGGCCGAGTTGTGTCTGATGGTCTTGGGTATAGGTCAGGGCCAGGTGTAGGTGGTTTCTCTGGGGTCTCGTTATGGGATGGGGGCAGTTACGGTGGATGTGGTGGTGGATTTACGGGAGTTTTCTGTCCTATATATGGTTCAATGTTCGGTTCTATTGAGCCAGGGAGTGGTGGGGGTGCTGCTACTGGTAGCAATGGTGGTCAGGGTGGAGGGGTTATTGTTCTAGAGGTAGAGACACTGCACCTTGATGGTGAGATCACGACTGATGGTGGTAATGGGCAAGGTAATGCAGGCGGTGGAAGTGGAGGAAGTGTTCGCATGACTATAGGTAATGTTTTCAGTGGGCGAGGTACAGTACGTGCGCGTGGCGGGAAATCTGGGATCGAAGGAGGGGGTGGAGGAGGGGGGAGAATATACATCAACTCAGAAGGAATTGATAATTTCAAAGGAGACGTTGATGCGAGAGGAGGGGTGGGTGTAAAATTAACCTCGGGTTCCCCTGGAACGATATGGTTGCTTCAAAATAAAAACGGATTAACAATGAAAACATTAATATTGGATAATAAAGATATTAGTCTTACAGAACAACTGCCAGTCGTTCTCAACGAAACCGTCAGCAGCTATTACTTTGACGTACTTCATTTGGCCGGAAGCATTATCTTAACACCTGACCATCACATGATTATTGAAAAGCTAGTCACCAGTCCGCTCAGCACCATAAGTATACCTAATGGCCTTATCGTGGAGATCGACACGAATTCGCGTGCCACAAGCCCCGCATGTAGTTTCCACGTTGCAGTACATGGTGAACTCCGACTTTCATCTTCGGTTACCTTCCTTGGACCAGATAATCAATTTTCAGGAACAATTACTGGTGTGCTAGACATGATCATTGGTGAAGGACGTCGGACTGTGCTATCAGCTTCTGCCCGTACAGCACTTTATGTTGATGGCAACTATACTTTCATATCAAAACGAGGCGAATACAAGTTTGCATCCCTGCTGCTAAAAAGCAATGCATTGTTGTCATTTGAGAAAACAGACATGACAGAAGTTCCGTTGGTTTTTGCAACATTAGAACTACGTTATGGTTCGGTATTACAAGGAAGCTGGCTGAATATTCAAGCCGTGAGTATTCTGGTTCATTCTGGTGCCAAGATAGATCTATCTGAGCGAGGACACCCTGGGGGTCGTGGTGAAGGTAGTGGGATGTTTAAGCAAAATTATGGTCGTGGTGCTGGTCATGCTGGTATAGGTGGTGGTGAAGACAATTCTGGAGGAGAATGGTATGGTGATATGGTCACCCCTAACTCTTTTGGAAGTGGTGGTGGTGGACGCGTTCTATCCCAAGGTGGCAAAGGCGGTGGTTATTTGAATATTCTAACTAGCGAGGAACTTGTCATTGATGGCTCAATCTTGGTCAGTGGTGGCGATTGTACGATGTCCGGTTGTGGAGGTGGAAGTGGCGGCAGTGTCTACATCCGATCCAGAAGCTTGGATGGTGTGGGACTTATAGGAGCTAGAGGTGGTAATGGAGATAATGCAGGTGGTGGTGGCAGTGGTGGCCGTGTTGCCCTTCATCTCAACACTAAGATATTATTTCAAGGCGATTTTAAAGTGCACGGTGGAACAGGAAAGTACAATGGTGCATCAGGAACAGTATACATTGAGGAAAATAAAGGTCGTTTACCAAGAAGGATTGTAATAGTGGATAACCATGTATTGTCATCTGATACAAAACCTACGACTGCGGTAACAAACAATGTTAATAACGATGTTACTCTTGACGAACTAAAGGTACAGGGCCCAGTGAGCGTATCTTTCTTCAACAAAAACAAAATAAGTAACCTAGAAATGGAGATATCTGTGGCAAAACTGTCGGCTGATACTCGGGGTGAGATCGTGATTCAGGCAAATCAAGTTATGTTTTCAGAAACAAGTGAATCCGAAGAGACTTCGTTCACACTTCGGACGAACCTTGTTATTCAGGAGGCTGGCTTGTTTGTTACAGCATCAAAGTTGTTTGTTGATGGGGCAGAACTGACCGTCAATGGACGGCTGATGAACGTGCGACATTTCACCCTAGAGACCGGAAGTCGTGTGACGTTCTCCGAGAAGTCACAGACTGGTGTATATCTTAAACCATTTGGGTCTGGTTCTCTCTCTCTACCAGGCACTCAGTTATTTGGAAGTTTAACTCTGAAAAGTGGCTCTACATTTAGTGCGCCTGAAAATTTGCGTATACAAACAGCTGATATGATCGTCAAAAACGGCGTGGTAATCCGTGTGAGGGATTTGGAAATAGCTGCAGCAACTTTGATCTTTGAACGAGGAACACTTATATCGGCTGATGATGTGTCTGCTGGAGGACATGGAGCTGGGTCATCAAACTTTAAAGTGGGTTCTGGGGGGAGCTATGCAAGTCCTGGAGGTAAAAATCAAGGTGATAAGTCATATGGAAGTTTGTTCAAGCCTCAAGAACCGGGAAGTGAAGGGGGAGCGGGTTCATCTGCTAAGACTGCAGGTAAAGGAGGAGGGGTTATCATTATCAAAGCAACTTTATTACAACTCGATGGTAAAATAACTGTGAATGGTGGTGATGGGGATCGGGGTTCAAACGCTGGTGGGGGTAGTGGAGGAAGTATCTATCTCAAGGTTGATAATCTCGTTGGTAAAGGGGAAATTATTGCCGACGGTGGTCTAGGAGATGGGAACGGTAGTTGTGGTAGTGGTGGTCGTATAGGGATATTCTTGACATCTGGGTACACATATCGTGGGAGCATCCGTAGTGCCAGTCTAGATTGTGGATCTACACCGTTAAATGGAGGTCCGGGAACCGTGTTTATCAGTGAAGTACGAATTAGACGCACTTATACGCGACTGATATTGGATAACCGTTTTTCAAACCAGGACACATTTGTTACCATGAATGAAAGCCAACTTGAGTATGATTTTGATGAAATAATGTTACGTGGTGGTGCATCGTTACAGTTATTCAAACAACCAAATATCCATCAGAGGTTGGGTGTTGGATTGCTATCTGGTGATAGAAGTGGTTTAATATATGTACATCGTAATCAAACAGTTATTATCAGTCAGAGAACACCCGCGCGTGTTCCCGCCAGTTTCAAAGTTGACGACGGAGGTTTGGTTATTGTTCCTCATAGCGTTATAATTGTTGGTCAGCGGAGATACTCTATTGAGTCACGTGGAACAATTCTTGGCATGCGAAATATGCAGCTCGCACGTGACCGAGTCGTGAGGTTCTACCAGACTTCTATGCTCGGGATAAGAAAGGGTAGACGAGATTTTTCAGGATCAGAGAGGGTGTTAGAGTTTGGTTCACTTATCCTGCATACTAGTAGTATTATGGTGATAGACGATGTTGATCAGGTAAAGATTTTTGCGGATAATATTGACATAAAATATAATGCATCCCTCATTTCATCTTCTCTTGCGTTTACCGTTTCGTCTCTTCACGTTGAAATTGGTGGACGAATTGACTGTTCTGGCGACAACGATGTCATTGGATCAAAGTCCGCGCCGTCAGGCCTAGCAATAGGGACTGGTGCTGGCCATGGTAGTGAAGGTGGGGAAGGTACTACAAAACAAGGTGGGCCGTACCATGGATCCTTGTATAACCCTACTGAACACGGTAGAACTGGGGGCGCAGGCCCTAATGGCGAGAAAGGAGGCCAAGGGGGAGGAAGTCTAGTTCTTAGAGTTGGATCTCGTTTCATAGTAGATGGAATTATAACAGTTTCTGGCGGACGTGCAGTGACCAAAAGTAACGCAGGGGGCGGAAGTGGAGGAAGTATTTACGTGAGTACACACTCGTATCGAGGTGATGGAGTAATGGATGTGCGCGGTGGGGCATCTGGTGGTACTAGTTCTGGAAGTGGGGCAGGGGGGAGGATTGCGATATACTCTGAAAAAGAAATCTTATACCGGGGAGGTTATGAAGCGTCGGGCGGAAAGGGAACAGAGGGTAGGTACGGCGGCCCAGGTACGATATTTGTACGAGATTTAAGAAACAAACGTTTCTACACGCAGTTGAGATTTGGTGAAAGACAAGGAAACAACCTCATTTTTGTTACACTGGACGAGAAAAACATCACTGAATTTATATTTAATGAAGTTATTATCGAGCGAAGGACAGCCATGAGACTTAAACAAGATGGAGAAATGAGAAGTTTAAAGGTCGGTCAACTTACTGGAGACGGGACGGGATATATCTATGTTGGAAGTAATCATACTTTCTACCTACGTGGTTCTACCGGTCAAGGTGAGGTCTCGAGACCTCCGGTGAATTTGAATATCGACACTGAAGGTACAGGAGTATTTGATACATCGCTCTTTGTGGTCAGTCACAGCCCTGCAAGCCCTAACGGTCATGCTCTGCGTGTTAACGGACGTATCATTGGTGTTGAACATTTGTATTTGACGAGGGAACGGAAGATGGTATTTATGTCCAAAGCTCAAACTGTGCGTTATAATAATGGAAGTCTGACATCACGTTCACCTGGCACATTTGTTCTAGCGTCGTTGGAGATTCATGATAGGGCACAGCTATCGTTCCTGACGTCACACGGGATGAGAGGTTTGGCGGGAAAAATAGATGTGAAATTTGGAGCGAAAGTGTTTGCTGATCAATTTGATATGAGTAAGTATGAACTAGTAATTTTTCTGAATAATTTGTTTTAATATTTAATTCAAGAATGAGCGTTAGGGGGACCAGCAAAATGTGGTCAATCTCTTTAATGTTGACTCGGTTGAGAGTAGGAGAACAAAAATTAAACTCCATACCGTGATAAGCGGCAGATGAGTATCATATGCATACGATATTGCTTAGATAAATACACGTTCTATAGATTTGCAAAACACCACACTATATATATTTATGTAATAACGTTAAGAATTCAAGCGCTTTCATTGGTCGAGAGCCATGATCTATTAGAGGACACTGACAGACGCACGGAATTACGTCACAATTAAGGAAGCCATAGCATTCCCTTATTTGTCTTTAGCAAAGTGCTCAATGAAAAACCAGAGCATGTTTAAATTAAGGTACAACAAATAAACAACATCCAATAGGCATCTTTATTACGAAATAGTTTCGTACCACAAGATGTGGCACTCTTCAGATAAATTGACCTAATGACTAAAAGGATAATGAAGAAGGTATGCTGTTTAAATTTTGTATTTTTCTCGTTGTTTAACGATAATTACTCGCTGGGGCACTTTGCCCAGGCGATAATATGGGTTTCGGCACGCATGGTGGATGTCAGATCGTCGTTGATAGCCACAAAATAGTATTCTAGCGATTTGCGGCCTTTGAAAATCAAGCGAAATTGTATTGTTGACAAATCGTTTGCAGTACGTATTGACTATTGTTGACAAATCACTCGCAGTACGTTTGTCTTTGTATTTGTTTTTGTAATGTCTAATGGCGCAATAAGGATAAAAATACCACCGTTCGATTTAGCTTAAGAAATTGTACTTACGGATGTCAAAGGTATTACTAAACAACATTATTCTATCGATTTATCCTTTGCCTTTGAAAGCCAAGCGAAATTGTATTGTTGACAAATCGCTCAAAATTATTAAACTAATTATAAAAAATGCAGTGCGTTTGATCCTTGATAACTTTGGTATCGTTGGTTTTCTCTTTTTCGGCCGTATACCAGTGGATTCGTCTCACTTCTCTCTTCATTTTGATAGTATTTTTATGTTGAACGTTTTAAAGCGCAGTTTAATCCTAGCGGACGGACTACGGACCAACCGGCGGCCGACAGAAGAATGTAGCGTACTAAAAATAACTTTACTTGTAGGCGGAAACGCCGGAAATTATATTTGTAGGGCACCGCATTTTAGTATTGTGTCTGATTCTATAAAATCCTGACCTGAGGTCATTATGCTAACAAAAACTTCAAAACTGAGCAACCTACATGCAATACAAACCTGACGAATTTGAGAGCGGCAGCACTCTGACTGTAAGTTGTGAAGGCAATTTTGTAAACAAAAATAATTGCTGTGCTAAACATGACAAGTTTGAATATATATAGTTCACCAAAAACTATTCTATTTAACCGGAATTTGCATGTTTTCCGTGTGAAGGACAAAAACAAGGCGCAGCATGTATTGCCTGAACAGAAGAACAATGGTTCTTCGTCCTTCGCACGCAAAACATACAAATTCCCCTTACACAATAGTTTTTTAGTCTGAATTATGCACAATGCATATCACAAAAACAAATAAACAAAACCAGCGCCGTTCTAGGAAAGATCCTGGGATCGAGGTTGAAACAAAACTCACATGAGAAGTTATTTGGCCAACCGAGGCCGCACCGAACGCCTGAGCTGGCGTCTGAAGCGCAACCGGACGCTTTGGTTTTCGCGCCAAAACTGAGAAGTGAAACAATTTTAAAAATCTGCCTAAATTTAGCCTAACGATAGTCAGAATACGAAAATGAATGGCATCAAGCTCTAAAGACTTCATACTAAGCACGATGTATGCTCATGTATTTTACCACGTAAAAGCGTCATTACAGTTTAAAACCTATATTTGGCTTTAAAAGAAATGTTTCCCCTCAAATATGCAGTCTTAAAAGAAGGTTTAACTGCGATGAGCACAAGTGATGGATACATTGTCTACCTATTTGTTTCATGGATTTTTCACTAATATAAATATTGTAAAAAAAAGTCAAAGCTGTGTTTAATTTAAAAACACATTTTTCAATCAAACAAGACGCTCTATGGAGCGCTAACTCGCAGGGCAAGATGAAAACCACCCGCTCTGAAATATTTTCTATTTGTCTCAGTTCGTTTGCTCTTAATATGCATTATTATACCGATCATTTATTTGGGATTCTTTTTTTTTCATTTCTAGACGTAACAACATTGAGTGTTGAGACTGGGGGATTAATGACAGCTGCTGGATCGGACAGACCAAACATAGTGAAATCACACTCACCATCACCTAGTTGCAATGGTGCTGGTGGGGCGTATGCCAGTCATGGCGGAATTGGTCGTGATCCTAATGTATCCTTAAAGCCGTACGGAAGTTTATACCTCCCTCGAGAATTTGGTACGAATGGATGTGGGGACCAAAGTCTTGGTGGAAATGCTGGAGGATTGTTCTTTTTAACAATTGGTGATGCTTTGCATTTGGATGGTACTTTGAATGCACGAGGTCAAAATGCTAGTCCATCACCCTCCGGCGGAGGAAGCGGTGGTAGTATTCTGTTTAGCACAGTTGTGTTCACTGGTAATGGAATCCTTGATGTTTCTGGGGGGGACGGAAAAGGTCAAAACACAGGGGGAGGATCAGGTGGAAGACTTGCAGTGTACGTGAGATCACAAAATCGTTACTTTGGTCAGTATCTCGCAATTGGTGGCAGCGCTGGGGATGCCTTGAATGATTTCAGCCGAGCGTCTGGTGGGCCTGGGACTGTTTACATCCAGCAGTTGTTTAACCAGGTTCCACATGACCGTTTGATGTTAGACAACAAAAATAGACCTTTCAATCATTATGTCACGTTAAACGAGTCCCGAGATTCTTATGAGTTTGATGAGGTACACCTGACAAGGAAAGCTTCCTTACATATTGTTAACAATGGAAAACAATTAAATTTGACGATACATAAAATTCTCGGAGATGGTACTGGTCTTATTCACGTGCATGAAAATCAGCTGTTGACCGCTGAAGTTAAAGACGCAAGACGCACCATAACCCGAGCCCAGGCAAACTTCAAATTGGATGCAAATTCGTCAGCTATAATGTCAACCGTGGTTCACATGATAGGACGAGGAGATGTGGCGTTTCATTGGCAGGGAAGGCTTATTAATGTTATGCATTTACATTTAGCTTATGGTAGGCAAGCGTTCATTGGTGTCGAGGCTCATACAGGAACTATTGAGAATGATAGATTTGTATCTTCAGAAACAGAAGGAACATTTCATTTTTCAACCTTGGAGTTCAGCAGTAAGTCCCACGTGGATTACCCTTCACCTCATGGAATGCATTTCACAGTTGGGTTATTGGTGAGTACTGAATCTGTATTCTCTTCTTATTTATAAAAAAGGTAGAATTGCTGTATTCATTTTGACCCCCTGATGCCTCTGTGAGGGACTGTATTATACTTCATGTTATTCAAATGTTTCGATGCTGTCAAGGCGCACATTTTGAGATATTATTGAACGAATTATGCCTTTTGAAACGATTTTTATGAAAGAAAGAAGATCTGTCCCTTTCAATAATGGCTGTAACGTGAGTAAACAATGTTTATAATGCAAGGATAAGTGTATATTGCGTGTTATATTAGTTTTTTTTTATCGAAATTATAATACAATGTTTGACTGGGAGTGCTTGGATATTTCTTGTGAATACTGAGCCGAATATTGTTATCAATCAAGCACTTCTAGCAGTTCTAGGCAGTCAAGTGCCTCGATAAATCATTTTGAAATTTTGGGCTTATTGATAATATAGAAAGTGGCTTAGAAAATGTAAGTATTGTATATGATAGGGGAGAATACACTTCATGACATACATTTTCCAAAACTGAATGGCAAGTGAGCGAAGATATGCCAAAATGGAACTCCAAAGTATATCTATATTTCAACCAACCTATATTTGCTACTATTGTGCAATACGTATCCAGCAATAAGTGAATTATGTTGACTTGTTTGCACCTAGTCCTAGAGACCGGACTTCTTGAATAACCATTACTAGGGAGCTTAAGCATATAGGACGGCAACACGACGACGACAGCAACCAATACAATGAGTCAATGAAAAGAAATAAATAATCAAAGTCCCAGGGGAGTTTCAGACGTGGTCATCGTTCTGTTTACAACGGCGAATCGCAGATTTTCACGTCTTTTATACAACGCCTGCATTTCAAGCCGTAACAAGTGCAACTTAAAATTCGATCAGTAGAACTCTTCCCAAACATAAAGCCAATGTTTTCAACTTCTTATACTGTATTAAATTCATACGAATTATAATATACGACAAGTTTTCTTTACTATCATTTATTTCAAGGAATTTGTTTTGGCCGTCGTCGTCGTGTTGCCGTCCTGCATGCTTAAGCTCGCTAATTACTGTTATCGAGCACGAAAGGGTACACTGTTGCCATGGAAACTATTATGTATGCATATGAGTTGCATATAGGCCGTGAGATGAGGGTCGAAAATATGCTTAGAAAACAGATTCCGTAGCACCCCTCGTGTAACTACATAATTTTTACATGAATCTATAGATTATAACTTACTTAGTTAGAATCCACTTCCCCCCAAGCGAAATAGTTGCACAAATTGAAGTATAAGCTCTTCAAAGTTCACGCTTCCTCGTGTTTCTGAATCCATGAACCGCCATTGTTGTGTTGCAAATACGCATGCGCTTGAGCACAAAACACGTAATGCGCACGCGCAGATAAGAAAAACTGATCTCAATCTAGGACTGGACAAGAGAAAATTATGAAATGTGCGAAAACAGGGCTGAAGTAAAACAAGATGACATCGGAATATTTTAAAAATATATGATATTTTTATGTTTTGTGCATTTTAATGGAGTTTACCAAACATTCTGAGCAATGTACCGTATCGAGCCCTCGCCAGGAACACTTCCAAGCCAACATTACAATAATAACTTATTTAAAATACGATGTTATTTTATACTACAGCAATTGCATAACGTTTGCAAGCGAATCAGGCTTTAAATAATATCACAATCCTAAATATTCTCAAACATGCATACCATAATTTATCTATCCAATTTAGAAAGGGGGAGGAGGGTTTAATTCTAACTGTTTTGCACGTTTGATTCTCTTTATATATGCAACATCGGGTACTGTGATTATCAGTAAAATATCATAATTATCTTTCAAATACAACACTTTCATGTTTCATGATTTTATACATTAATTAATTGGTTACAGGAGAAAGGGGTGGGGAGTAGGGGTGGGGGGGGGTGCTAAACTGAGAAATTGCGATATACCATAAGGGAGTGGTCATTATTTATGGGGAGGGGGAGTTGGGAAATGGGGAAAATAAGGATTGAAAACTTTTTTGTCCCCCCCCCCCTCCAGACTGAAGGCACCTAGGTTAACCTAGGGTTAAGCTAACCCAGCTTTGAACAACCGGCCCCTGGTGAATATGATTCAACCATATATGATTAAAAAATGTATATCATGTGTTACTACTTTGCAATGCAACATTTGTCCTACCATAACGCTAACCCATGACCCGTCTTCATACAGCGAAATGAGATTTTAAGAACTTG